GCTCAGAGAAGGCGGTACTTTTTCTATAGCCCCTTTGCACAGCAGTTTTGCTATTTCTGCGTGAAGTAGGTGTGCTACTTCCGCATTCACTATCGTCGCGGTCCGGGCTCGAAAGCGCGGGGACGGCGAATGAATTGAAGTGTATAGCCCTGCTTTATTGTGCTCAGAACCCATTCTGAAATCCCTGGGATAGTTTCCCACGCAGCTATGTGAGCCGCTAGGGGGCGAATGGCCTCCGGGTTCAGATCGCCGCCATTTGCGGGCTTGTGAAGCTGAGCCGGAGCCGAAAGCGCGGCGCGCGCGCTCTCGGTTCTGGGCAATGGCTGCTCGCTGAAAACCGAGACCGTCTGATTTATGTGAGGTGTCCCAATCATAAGGGATGGGGAGCATTTTATTCTCACTTTTTGACGCGCGAGCAGCGCTTTGGGCGGAAAAGCTTTCTGTAAGCGTGAGCGCGTGTGCGCGGGCACGAGACTTGCAAGTGTATTCGACGCCCCGATCATAACGGTTGGGGAGCGTCTTATCAATGCTCTGCGTTTTGTGATAACATTTAAACGCGCGGGCGGCGCCCGGGGGGAAGTGTGTTAGTAAGCGTGAACGCTCTTCGGCGGGCACGAGACTTACATTCATAACCTGTTTTATTGACCGTGTAACAGAGCGGGCAGATAGTGGGCACAGACCTGTGGACACATTTCTTATATTCAACACTCGAGCGGCTTTTCTGCGCTTTATGCGAGTGTGCTCTGTGAGTGACACGAGATTTGATGTGCTTGTGTGTAGGGGTGAACACTGGGGCGTGGGCACTTTCACTACACTTAAAACACCAACGGCGTGAGCCGGACCAGACATTATACTCTTTTTGAGATTTCTCTGGGTCGCCGTGAAAACGGCGTTTGTGTGCAGGCGAGAGGGTGAACAAACCGGCTCGTTGGCTGCTAAATGAACCACTGCAGTAGCCTGTTTGAAGGGGACAGACAGGGAAATAAACTTTGACGGCGGTCCGGCCGCAGCGGGACACACGCGTTTTTTTTTTTTTTTTTTTTTTTTTTGAGGCGATGTGTCTGTTAGTAAGCGTGAGCGCTCGTGAGCGGGCACGTAACTTACATTCTTAACCTGACATGTATGAGGCTGTTCTGGCCGTGTGACAGAGTGGGCAGAAAAATAGACAGAGTTGTGGGCACGTTTCCTACATCTAGCACTCGAGCGGCATTTGCCGGCTTTAAGAGAGTGGGCTCTGCCGGAGACACGGGGGGTATCGCGTTGGCTGCCAAATACACCGCTGCAGTAGCCTTATGTAAGGGGACTGACAGGGCGAGACATTTCGACGGCGGCGCGCAAGCCCGTCCGGGTCATGCAGAGCCCTCTCGAGCTCTCTGCATGACCGCGAGGGCGGGGTAGCTCTCTTGTAACGTAAAGAGAGCTAGCCGCGTGCTCGTTGGACGAGCAGAACCGTATAAACATTTCTGCTTTTACCACGCATCCAGTACGTCGCGTATGTTGATGCCCGTCCGGGTCATGCAGAGAGCTCGAGAGGGCTCTCTCGAGAGGGCTCTGCATGACGCGCGAACGGGGACACGAGGGCGGGGTAGCTTTCTTGTAACGTAAAGAGAGCTAGCCGCGTGCTCGTTGGTCGAGCAGAACTGTATAAAAATTTCTGCTCTTACCACGCATCCAGTACATCGCGTATGTCGATGCCCTTCCGGGTCATGCAGAGAGCTCGAGAGGGCTCTGCATGACGCGCGAACGGCGACGCGAGGGCCGGGTAGCTCTCTTGTAACGTAAAGAGAGCTAGCCGCGGTCTGATGCCAGGATGGAGCAGCAGTCTCTCGTGGCGTGTCCCTCGGCCTAAACCTCAGATGCGACGGCAGTGAGGCTCGTGAGCGGCAGCTGCGCGTCGGTGAGGGGAGGCGGGGAAAGTGAAAACGAGGCTCGAGGGAGGTTCTCCGGCGAGCGCGTCGCTGTGGCCACGGGTTCCGGCTGTCTCAGGGAACGGCGCTTCTTCCTGCACGGTCCCACAGAGGGCGGAGTGACTGCTTCGGGATTGAAGGCTTCGAGTCGAGCCCGCAGGGTCGACAGCGGAATCGCTTCACAGAGCTCGCAGCCCCCGGACGCGAGGGCGAGCTCTGCATGTTCCAGGCCCAGGCAGAGAGCACAGATCACATGGCGGTCTCCGACGCTGAGCGGGGCCCTGCACGAGCCGCAGGAAGTGCGAGGCATCTTTAAAAAGACACTCGCGCTCTTTTAGGAATAGGTTTTGCAAGGTAAAAAGGATACGTCGCTGGATAGCGTAGCTCGCACGGATGGCTGAAGGTGGCGAAGACGGCCGGCTTCCTCAGCGCTGTCCTAAGCTGGCTGTTCGCTGTTCGCTGTTCGACGGCGGCGGTGGCTTCTCTCAGATCCAGCGATGCGAAGAGCTCGCTGAAGAGACGAAAATCAGGGAATTCAGCCTACAGCCTACAGCCCCTTTATACGCTAAGCCACCCCCATTCTGGCGGGCTATGACGCTATGAAGGCGCGGGCGCCCTTCATTGGGCGTGACGTCACGCGGGGCTCACTGGTAGGCTGCAGCAGATGCCCGCAGGGCAGCCAATGAGCACGCAAGACTGCCTGCTATAGGTCTGCTAGCTGCTGCACTGCGTTGACAATGAATACAAAATTAAAGGATAATTTTTTGGCTTCAATATCTCGAGAAGATGAATCTTTCCCGTAGCGTAAGCTAAACTTATGCAATACGAGAGAACCTCTCATAAGAGAACTCAAAACTTTCTTGTTATTCCATAAACTGCTTTTATTGAAACCAAGGCCTGCACAGGATCTAAAAAGTGGAGACATGTGACGTCAAACTTCAGCTTTGGCCCCGCCCCACTGGAGCGTTAGTGAACAGTGACATGAGAACGAGAAAAGATCGATACAGGATCAATACCATTACCTTCCAAACGATCCAAATCCTAGGATGGGGGGGGGAGGGGAGGGGGTGTCGTTACGATATGGATCTCCCAGCAACACAACAAACATGTAAGTAGTCATGTTTATTCTAATGCCTGATCTGTCTGTGATCAGTGATTTCTGATGTAATAATTCAAGTTAAGACAGATTATCTCTCAAAATATCGTTCACTTTCATACTCGATCAACAGACTGTCTGTCATCTGCTCAATGCTCATCACTGCTACCTTCCATGTGATGGGAATAGATCATGATGATCAATACTTTTCACGAGTCCTTAATCTCGATAGCTGTAATAGTTAAAACATAGTAAAAGTTTTAGAGAGAGTTCCACATGTAATGCTAGCTATTTCATATGCACAGCTGTCAGCCAATCACGGCAGTGGGCGTTTACACTTTTATTGTGGCCAGCCTAAGGCACACCTGTGCAATAATCATGCTGTCTAATCAGCATCTTGATATGCCACACCTGTGAGGTGGATGGATTATCTCGGCAAAGGAGAAGTGCTCACTAACACAGATTTAGACAGATTTGTGTACAATATTTGAGAGAAATAGGCCATAGAAAAAGTCTTAGATCTTTGATTTCAGCTCATGAAAAATGGGGGCAAAAACAAAAGTGTTGCGTTTATAATTTTGTTCAGTGTTTTTGATTAAAGGGGTGGTTGATTATGATTTCACTTTTCTAACTTTAGTTAGTGTGTAATGTTGTTGTTTGAGCATAAACAACATCAGCAAACTTACAAAGTTACAGGCAAAGGAAGATATTTGCTTTTAAAGAAATCGTTTTTTAAGAACAAACGGCTGGGACTACACGAGCTTCCTCCCAGTTTAGTGACATCACCAACCCAAAATTTACATAAACCCCGCCCCCGGGAACACGCAGTCCATGTTGAGAAGAGGAAGAGTTGTTGTAGTAGAGCACATTTGTGAGTCTACTCAAGCTGTCACATCCGTCTTTTCACATACAATACAGTACAGTATGTAACACAAACACAATAGCATGTCACTCTGTATGCATCTTAACAGTTCCCACACAGCGATTTTATAAATTATCATGACAGGATATGCTAATCAAAGACTTGAAGATAGTTAACTCCACATCAGCAACATAAATTCATCAACTAACCATTCAGAAACGTCCTGTTGCATTCTACATGTTGTCACTTCTTCTTGAGTCTCGCCGTCATTGTCTGACTCCAGTTTAAACATAAAAGGCAGAATAGTTTCTGCGTGAGGTAATCAGAGCTGCTTGCTAACACACACACACACACACACACACACACACACACACACACACACACACACACACACACACACACACACACACACACACACACACACACACACGAGCTGTTGAAGCTCCGCCCTCTGTGCCGGGAGCAGCAGCTAATTTGCATTTAAAGAGACACACACTAAACTACGTGTTTTTACTGACCCTCAAAAAGGGACAATTTTAACATGCTGTAAAAAATATCTGTGAGGTATTTTGAGCTAAAACTTCACATACACACTCTGGGGACAACGTTTATTTTACATTTTGTAAAAAGGGGCATTATACCACCCCTTTAAAGATTACATGGGCTCATGAATAAAAACAATCAATGATGAGCACGGATCATTTATTATAAATAAATTATATTTATTCCATAAAAAAATATTCCACAAAAAAACAATAAATATTTATTTTGATTTCAGAACTTTAAGGCTTAAATAGTTCACCTTAAAAAAAATTACATGAAAATCGCCCTCGTCAGACTTTCTGTGGAACAATAAGATATTCTGAGAAATGTATTGGTGTGTTTTTGTACAATGTCAATGTAAGTCAATGGTATCCAAAACATTCTTCAAAATATCTTGTCAATATCTTCCGCCAAACACAATGACTTGAGGGTGAAATGATGGCCCCTATAATTATAGCTTTCCAACAACACTGCACAGCTAAATAATTGAACCATTAACTGGGCGGTTCATCGCCGCAGTACAACTTGTACTGGGTTGTACAACCAGGCACAGAGCCATAGCTTGAAGCGAAGAACTCAGTGAAAGTTGATAGGATGTGCTTGAACTTCCTCTGAAGACACTGATCTTCCGTGTCAACTGCGGGAACTTCTGAGGTAAGCCGCTATTTTTCTTTAATTTGATAAGAGCTGTACATGGTTTTTCCCCCACAAGGATTATTCATAAAGCATGAAATCAGAACGATGAAAATGATATAGCCTATCTGCCTATTGCAAAATTAGCAACCGATTTTAAAACCTTTAGTCTGTAGGCGGACACACCACCTGTGTTTGTAGTAGCCTGTGTGCGTATGTTTGTCTTAAAACGTTTATCAAATTAATCAAATCTTATGACTCGTTTACTAACGGAAGTAACTTTATAAACATCGTTTTGTAACTCCTCGTCACTCCTGCTCGTTTTTATTGCCACAATATTTATCAGTGAGATATATTACACCGCGGCGAATAGCGATTTTTTTTTTTTGCACGCTTGGCATCTCAAAATATCTCCAAAATAGACTACTTGTTGACTGCTTAAGGATAAAGCCCAGGTGTACTTTTTTCCAAACTTTATTTGTGTTTGCTTGAGTAGCCTACCTCCGAGTAGTAGGCTAAAAGGAATTTCAAGAATTTCAACATGTTTTAAAGCTTTAGATGTTTTATAGGTGTCGTATAACTGTTAGCGACTGCTTTACTAAACAAATGACATGTATTCACAAATCTTTAAAGTTAGACCAATGTTTAATTATTACTTTTATATCAAACTGTGTAAATTGAGACATGCTTACCCTGAAATTCTTGAAGTATTTAGTTTGGTTTGGCATTCTGAGATACTATTGAACCTGGGATTAAGATAAAGTAAACGTCTGGAACTTTCACTTATTCACTTATTTTGCACGCAGTGGGTTTGCACTCTTTCACAAATGAAAAAAAAAAAAAAAATGCTGGACCAGAGTTAGAAAATGCATTTATGTATAGGCCTATTCAAAAAAATTATTTATGTGAAAGTGTATGTTTATTCTTAGAAAGGTCATTTCTATTACACCTCTTTCTGTTACTCATTTTTGGTATTTATTCAATATAGCCTTAGTTTGAGGAACATGTTTTAGGAATATATGATTTAATAAATATGTGTCAAGTGTTTAATCTATTTACATTATTTCAGAACCGAGCGCTGGTAAGAAAATGCCATAAAATATATATTTTTAATCTTTTAGAATATATATTCAGTACTCAAAACATTGTTGAACCTAGTGTTTATGGACAGGAAAACTCCAATGGTAAACTTTTGAAGGAAAAAATAGGAAAATCCTGCTATGCCGGTGAAACATTGAATCATTTAATGGAACTCAACAAGCAATGAGACAACAATGAAGGGTCTGTTCTTCAGGGAGGCATGACATTAAGTTAATCATTTCCTCTTTCTGACTTTGGCAGAAATATTCATTTGAGCATTAAATCACATGGCAAAAAGATGTATATTTATTGCATGAGCATTGCACTTATTGTGGATTCCTGCATCTGCCACAAACACAGACTTTGAAAAACTGCAAGTTCTCAAGTAAAAGGTAAGATGTGTACTTCTTAATTAAGTTAATTAATTTGTGGTACGCAATAAGATTTTTATAGCAAAAAGAAATAATGTAAATAAAGTAAAATGGTATTAAACAGGATATTTGACATTTTCATATTGTTTACATAGCATAATCAGGATGGATTTTTGAAGATCACATTTAGAAGAAAAAAAAGTATGTCGAAATGCGCTGAAATAAGATCATTTCATTTTTCCAAGAACCTAAAAAACTGACACTACGATAGAATTTGTAATGTTCTGCCAACAACTCTTTTCCCATTTCCTCTTTGTCAACCATGCTTACATATCACATATATGATTGTAGTTATTGTAGTCCTTTCAAGTAAAATGTATTTATTTATTATTACAAACAATTTTCTTCTTTTTTTAAAACTATTACAACAAGAAAACAAACAGCAAAACAACATTGAACCAAAAAATATTATTATTATTTTATGTAAACGCTACATTTAAATAAATAAATTCTGATCTTGATTTGCTTGCTGAACCTTGTCCATGTCATTAAGCGAAGCATCCTTCTATTCTTACAAAAGTTGAAAAGATGAAACCGTGATTAGGATCCCAATAACATTTTTTTTTTTTGTCTCTATCCTCTGTTGCAGATCTAAGAAAAGACTGTAAGAATGCTTTTTTCACTGGCTCTACTTCTCAGCTTCCAGGCAGTTCTGCAAATTAAGCCAACTAAAGCCAAGCATTCCTGTACAATAGCATCTAAAGACAGTGTAGCTGACTGTAAAGGTTTACGGCTAGATAATGTGCCTATAACACTGCCTGACTCACTGGAAGAGCTTGACTTGTCTTTCAATACCATACAGGTCATCCGCAAAGAAGATTTTTCCAAACTTAGTCATCTGCGAGTCCTCAAGATTAATTTCAACAACATCTCTCTGATTATGGATGATGCCTTTCAGGGAAACCCTCTGCTGGAGGAGCTAAGCTTATTTAATAACTCTATGAGAGAAATTCCCTTTAAAGCTCTTGAGTTGCTCACAAATTTGAAGATTTTAGAAATGTCCAATAACTTGTACACACAAGCATCTCTGGGTGTTGCTTTTTTGAATTTCACCCAGTTAAAAGTGCTGTCCATTGGTGGATCTCTGGTCAGTAGATTAGGAAGCCGAGATATTTTCGCGCTGGAAAATATCTCATTGGACAAATTTGCTATTAAAACTGGTACTGGTTTTAAAAGTTATGAACCTGGGTATTTCAGCAACCTTAACACAAAGAACTTGTGGCTCGATATAGCTATCGACAAAAACCCAGATGTGCTTCCAAAGATATTGAAAGATATAGCAAACAAGACTTTTGATGTGCTACGTTTTCGAAACCTTTTTGAATTTCAGTACTATACTGATAAACAGGATATTTTTTATGGCCTGCAGTATGTAAAGACTCAACGCCTAACATTCTATCGAGGTAAATTCAATGAGGAAGTTATGAGAATGGCTCTGGTAAATATGCAAATCAGTCCAATCAAAGCCCTGGAACTGCTGCTCATCGATTTTGCTCGTTCACAGAATAAAACGCAGGGATCCAGTGTGACAAACTTGACCTTGGAACAGCTGGTTCTCTCGTAAGTTATACTAACTCCTGTTGATTTAAAAAAAAAAAAAAAACTCAAATAATTATTCTAATGTTATTGAAATTCTCATCTTTTGGCAACGGTATTGCATTTCTTTGTTCCAAATATTTATACCTTAAAAAGTACAATGAAAATTGTTAATGGACCTTTTAGGGATGCACGATATATCGGTATCGGCCAATATATGTTCATTTTTAATGTTGTCATTATCGGCCCAATAAGAAAATCCGGCCGATAAATAATGGTTTGTATATAATAAAGTTTGTCATATAAGCTACATAAAATTATAATGAGAGCATTATAATTGTGTGCTTGGGACATGGATTTTAATGGTGAGACTTTTGTTTTTGTAATCAGGCTCTCAAAAATTATATAAAAATGTAATATAAAATATATTTAAAAAAAAAAACCTAGGGGCATCCTGTTAAGAAATCAGAATCATTTAGAAATTGGAACAGGAGTCACTAAATTGTTTGCGATTCTCATTCCTACTTATAAATCTGTATGTATAAAAAAATATCATCTCATCTATAATTGTTATGTTCTTGCTGTTTTATTCTACAGGGACATCAGTAATCCAGATATAATGCGCTTCGACTGGAGCTTTACCTGGCTTAATCATGTACGCCAATTCATTGTATGGAATGTAAACTTCAACAGTGTGCCGTGCGACTCGTGGCCGGAGATGAAAAATATTGAGCTTCTGGACATCTCTAACAACCAGCTGAGAGACAGTTATCTTTATAACCCACTATGCGACACTAAAAACACTTTGCACAAGCTCAAAACTTTTAACGTCAGCCGTAATCAACTTACCAGCCTAAGTGACTTGGCATCTCTGACAGAGGACTTTGTCAAGCTGACAACAATTGACATAAGCCACAACCAGCTGCAATATATGGGGAACCGTATCTGTTATTGGAGACAGACCATTACCAAAGTAATCGCTCATCATAATAGTCTGACAAGCGACTGTTTTAAGTGCCTCCCCACTTCTGCGATCTTCCTCGATCTTTCATACAGCAGTCTAGACCAGCTGGACATGGGCTATTTCAATAAGGCATCCAACCTAACAGAGCTTCTTCTCAGCGGCAACAAGATCAAGTTCATCCCATCCGGCTGGAGGAATCCATATTTGAGGACACTCGCTTTAGATGGAAACTCATTTGGACTTGTTAGCATGACGTCTTTTAAGGACATGCCTAGTCTACGTGTCCTGACTGCAGGCAACAACCCTTACCACTGTATCTGTGATCTCTACACCTTCATACAGGAAACCACAAGCAAGGGGAAGGTGACCATCACAGACTGGCCGGATAACTACAAGTGTTACCACCCCGAGCGTCTTCTCAACACAAGGGTATCCCAATACTTCCCTGGTCATTTAACCTGTAATATTACACTCGTTATTATCATCTCCGTGTCAACAACGGCAGTTGTTGTCCTAGCTATCATGCTTCTGTGCTACATTTCCAATGGTCCATGGTACATTAAAGCCACATACCAGATCATCAGAGCCAAGTACAGGGCCCATAAAGAAGGTTCGGGTCAGACTGTGGACTACACTTTTCATGCTTTCATTTCTTACAGCCACTCGGACGCAGAGTGGGTCCGAGACCAGCTGCTCCCTTGTCTAGAGAATGCTAAGCCTCCTTACCGCCTCTGCATCCATGAAAGAGACTTCATTCCAGGGAAGTGGATCATTGACAACATCATCGAGAACATTGAAAGTAGTCGCAAGGTACGTCCACACACACACACACTCACAAATTTATGTTCTTCGAAGATGCCTTTTTACAAAAGATACATACAGTGTCATGAAACTGAAATAAATGTAATACAAGCCCAGTTGGATATCAAGGATTAGCCAGAATTTCTTATAGAAGAGGCTGCACCATAAGGCTGCATTTGTTTGTTTAAAAATGCAGTAAATATTGTGAAATATAATCATTTAAAAGAACTGTTTTCTATTTTAACATATTTTCAAATATTTTTCAGCAGCCATTACTCCAGTCTTCAATGTCACATGATCCTTCAGGAATAAGTTAATGAGTTAAAAAGAACATTCTTTTTTTACAATCTTTTGTAAAGAAATGTAAAAGTCTTTATACTGTATAAAATAAAAATACATTTCTTTAAAATAAACTCCAAACGTTTGAACTGTTGTTTTTCACACTATATTCAAATATATTTTATATTTCGCAATATTACTTTGCAGTGTAACTTTATCTTGCAATTGCAGCTTTGTTTATATTCTTGGCTTCATATTCTACAAAGTGAATTTATTTCTTATTGTAACTTTCTAACAAATTACCTTATTTTTATTTATTTTATTCTGATGTGGAAATGGGCTTCCATATACAATAAACATTTTTTTTTATTAAATCAAAAAGACAAATCTGAAGTGCTGAAGCCTTTTATAAGTTCCCAAAACTGTCAAATATGTTAGACCAACACAGACAGCATCCTAACTTGTTTTCTCATTATCAAGGTAATCTTCGTGTTATCGCGGAGCTTTGTGAACAGCGTGTGGTGCAACTACGAGCTCTACTTCGCCCAACAACGGGCCATTGGAAAGACGTTCAGTGATGTGATCCTGATCGTGAAGGAGCCCATTGATCCCACTTCTCTTCCCAGTAAATTCTGCAAGCTCAAAAAGATGCTCAGTACCAAAACCTACCTGGAGTGGCCCCAGCAACCCACAGAACAGAGCTTTTTCTGGGTCCAGCTGAGGACTGTTTTGGGGAAACCAAACGTAATAAGACGGCGCACAACCAGTCAGCATAGCCGTCTGTCTTCAGTGAGGTCTGTTTCTCTGATAGAGATGCAGCAGAACCAGAATTCTGCAGATAAGAATGGCACACATGAAGATGGCCACCAGGCCAGCGATCAGCCCTTTAATAGATGTCAACAAACTTTGAGAGAACTTGCTTGAAAGACACAAATAAGGTTATCTGTGGCCTAAGATGACCAGATAGAAAAATGTTTTTATTTTCCCTATATATTCAGAATATGACATGCATTATAATAACAATGACTGCTGCAATGATGTTCAGCTAAGGTTTGTCTAAACCGGTTTGTCTGACTCATTGGTGGCAGAAGGACTGGAAAAGGTTCATTCTGACTCATAGATTCAGTCAGTGAGCAAAACAAACAACCAGATAGATCCTAGACAGTGATTTACTGACCTAGTTGACCATGGCATACACGACAACACACAAGCTCACTCTGATAATCAATACAGTTCTATTTACTTTAGTATGCAAGTATACTTATCTTAATTAAGGTAGTAAACTGCAATAATGTCTACTGAAACAAGTCATTATTTCAATAAAATTGTGTTACTCTTGGCTCAGAAAGTATACAATTGTATCAGTATATAATTATTTAATTAAATCATGTTTTAAGATTAAAATATTTAAATTAATTTGTAAATACAGACTATATTCAGTTTTAATTCCTCTATTTTCATCCCTTCTTTGCCAGACACTTAAATGTATTTATTTTCTTACACATTTTCACATAAATGTATTTCACTACATAATGATTTTATGTCTGTTCTATCTAGTTGTAAAGCATTAGTCATAAAATCTATAACACTGAACAGATGGATGCTTGCAAATAAACAAGAAGCTATGACACATCCAGCTTATCCTCTTTGCAGCCTCGCACGCCATTTCTAGCTTCTCAAGTGATTTTTAGATTTTTTACATTTTATTGAGTGGAAACCTTTAGAGCAATAAAAAATGTGCCGGATGTTTAGTCATCACTACTTTGTGTGTGTTGTTGTGGTTGTTATTGCATTTATCATCCTTTTTTTTCTCTGCAGACCTTACTGATTTTTTTTTTTTCCAGAAAAAAATTGGAACTGAATACAATTTAAGATATCATTAATAGATTAATTCTAGTCACATTTAATTGATAATGAAATACCAACTTGTGTGCTGCCACAAACATATACCTTACTCCACTCCACCTCATAACATACAACATCAGATTCCTTTAGTCTGACAGAGATATTTTACATGGATTAAACCTAGACTGTAATGAACGCAAGTTATTTGTATGCTAGTGAGATCTAAGATAGAATGATGCCAAGAATTCACCTATAGTTGGCCTCAAGAGAGCCAGGTTTCAAGTTTCAGCACATACCTTCCTTGACAAGTCAGGAATCATCCAAATCGATGTGAATGAAATTGATATTTTTCTTGATTAGTGATACCAGTCAAAAGCATTTTGTCAAACAATACAAACATATATATATATATATATATATAAAATTCAGGTTGATCGGGACAGTTTTTGCCATTGAGATGACTGGGGGAAAGTGTCCCAATCAACCTGAAATATATAAAATAAACAAAAAAGATCATATTTTTGCATAGTTATAGCTTACTTTAATTAAATAAACGTGAGATATCACATGATTTTTTTTGAGCAGATCCTCATGAGAAGACCTTCGATTGCATGAGCGTGCGTGGTGACATCATTAGACGTGCGGGCTGCGGTTGGAAGAGGCTCCGCCTCCGCCTTTACTTATTCCCCCGCACAGGTGAATGGACGCTATTTAATGAGCACATCTTTTCAAGCGCTAGGTACCACCTCTTATTGTTTAGGTAAGTTAATAACGTTAACTGTTTTTTTAGACTTCAAATGTTATGCTGATTACAATAGCTTTCTGAAAATATTGTTTATATACGCCGTTGTTGAAAATGAGACGTTTAAGGTTAAAATCCTTAAGATAATTATTTAATGATGTCAAATGTTAATGTATGTGATGAGAGTATTTTTATTTAAGATTGATTACTTAACATAAATAACTCTCAATGTTTTACGGATAAGGTAGTTTTTGTCTTTTTTTTTACATTTACTGTGACCAATATAGGTGTTTTTTGTGGATGGAAAGTTAGTTCATTTTAAAGTTGCATTTAAAATTACAGTTGCATTGTTTTAGACCGTGATCTGATGTTAACTTCTCATGTTAGTGTTAATGTCCGCAATATTGACAGATTGTATGCAAGATTTAATAGCTGTCTAATTCCAAAAAAATAAGGTCTTCATGGCTTAATGGTGGATTAACAGTCTCAGAGCCTTTAGTTCATACAAAAAGCTAATTGAATAATTGATGCATACCTGTCTTCCCTCTCTCTAATGATAGTCATCAGCCTGCCAGTGCCAAAAGGCCTGTTTGTTCACAGATATTAGATCCCTCAGTGCTGTGTAACTCCAGTCTTTGGGGTCCCGTGGGGGGGGTGAAGGGGCTCCTGGGGTCAGCAGTTGCTGTGCAAATGCATTTAAGAATCAAAAAGGGCTATGCAATCTCACAAAACCGTAATGTATTTGCATATTTGTTGGATGAATGGAGACAATGCACTTAAAATTAACTTATAGTCCACTAACACACCTGCGTAGATCTTCAGATGTTTAAAAGTGAAATGTTAGATGCTTTACAAGGTGTACATTTGTGCATAATTTTTTTTTTCTAATGTGTATTTTTGCAGAGTATACTTTGTGAAACAACAACAACATGGTTTCGAAACTGGAAACTGCAATGGAGGGCCTCATTAAAGTCTTCCACACATACTCTTCCAAAGAAGGAGACAAGTACAAGCTAAGCAAAGCCGAGCTCAAGAGCTTGCTTCATGGAGAACTCGGTGACTTTTTAGCAGTAAGTTCTAGCCACATTAAGAGCAGTAATATTTATGGCTGACGTGCATAATTGAAGGAACTTTGTGAATGACTGTGTCTGTGTCTGTTTCTGTCCTGTTGTAGGCGAGTAAAGACCCCATGGTTGTGGAGAAGATCATGTCTGATTTGGATGAGAACCGAGATGGAGAAGTGGACTTTCAGGAGTTTGTTGTGCTGGTGGCTGCTCTCACAGTGGCATGTAATGAATTCTTTGTAGAGAGCATGAAGAATTAAATGTTCTTCTATGTCTCCCTTCAGCTGCATTTTGTATGTTTCATTTATCAAAAAAATAAATATTGGTGACATGCAGACTAATATGTGTATGGAAGCAAACTATCAAGAGTGTACAAGATGCAATATTTGTTCAGAGCAGTGTTTCTCAACTAGGGGGGGCATAAGATGACTTAAAATAATTTACAATAATACGAAATGACCATTTAATATAAGCTAAAACGCGAAAATATCAAAATATATACTGACATTGACCTTTTACAAATGTCACTCTTACCAGCAGGATTCCCAGGAAAACCTTGATATACGAGGGAATTTTGAAAGTGATTTCTAGACCTGGAAAAGTAATGGAAATAAAATTCTAAAAGGTCTAGCAAATTTAATACACATTATTTGAAGTTCTCAATATTTTGGTAGAAATGAGAGAAAATCATTTTAAACCCTGCAATCGCAAATTGCTAGGAAGGTCGTGTAAAAGCATAAACCCAGAAGAACATTCAGTTATTGAAACTTTTGGAATTATGGGATTAAATTATATAATTATTATTTGCAACTATAACTTTTAATACATTGCCACTCCTAGTTTCTATTAAAAAAAAGTTTGAAAATGAGCATCTTTATTACAGCAGGAGTACCAGAAATATTGTCCTGAATTTTGTCTAAAGAGTGCCATCTGTAGGCTATAAAAAGCAATGTCAGCCTTTTCATTGAACCGTGTTTTATATAGATATAATACACTTGTCTGAATGATTCTTAAATGTCTTTTGTAATAGAGGTGAAGACACCAGATGATACCAGCTTTTCCCAGTGTGAAAATCCTATGCCTTAAAATAAATAGAGAAACAACCTTGTACAGCACATCTATTTGATAACTAAGAAAAAAAGAATCTCAGTTTGAGTGTCATGTCTTTTTTATTTATATATATATATATAACAAAATCACATATTAAAAGATTAGAATTTGAAAGAATTTCTCTCAGTAATTCAGACAAATTAATTTAAAATGACAACTTTTTCTTATGAGTCAAAAGTATGGAAGGGGAAAAAATTACTGAACAATGGCCCATTGGGTCTCTCTGGAAAACGGAAAATCAGACCTATAATTTCAGTTCCCAAATGTCTGATGGTTTGTGTGGCAGTTCATTTATGGCCATTTCATTCATTACTGTAAATCTAATTATGTGGTTGATGCAGAACGTGGGTTTGAATATCTTGGTGTGTTATTTCACTCGGCTTCGAGCTTCTTTTGGCTTGACGGCCACCAGTACCAGGTTTCGTGGGGAAAAAGCAGCATCAAAGAGTGGGATGAGTTCACTCATAAAACCTAAATGTGAAAATACAAAGGTTTTACCCGCTCTGTAAAAAAATACTATGTAAAGAATATAAGTAATATAATCCAATATTAAATTTTTAATTATGTAACCAAAAATGTAAAAAAAAAAAAAATAATACAATGGTGTCAAAATAAAATAAAGCTAGTTTGGTCATTAGACCATTTTCTCATATGAATGACTGGCTCTGCGACACATACCTCTCTCCTGCAGGAAAATCATTCTGTCCAGTAACACTAGAGTCTCCACCACAGGTGCCAGGAGAAGAACCAGGCTGAAATACACCACCACTTTACCCTGGTGCGCTAGCATTGTATCCACACAGACAGAGTCATATGGGAGATCAGCGGGTAGGCCCACTCGTGGCAATGCCAAACGAGCATACCTATGATAAAACACAAAACAATAGTATAATGCAACAGTCTAGTACCTCCGATGTATTTTCAAATAAGACAGTTTAAAGTTTGATTGAGATGTTGACTCTTTAATTTAACTATTTATTTTTTCCTGTTCCAGGAACTGAAGTGCAGGAGTGAGTCACAGATTTGCCAGTTCTGTAAAAATATTAATATTATCAAATGTCGTGATAAAGAAAACCTAACTCAGAAAATGACAGTGCGTGGGCTTTCTTAATGGTCTGAACTCCAGGTCTGCGCATATCAGGCCTCTCCGCTCTGATGATGCTTTCTAAGATGGCTCTATAGCAGTGTGTCCGCAGTAACCCGCTCTCCTCTCTCAACCGCTGGAGATAGTCCTCTATTGCATGACACGCTCCCTCTCGTGCCTTGTAGGACAATTGGTGCCCTGGTAATCCGCGTACCCAGTCGCTCATTGGATAACCATATTCTGAACAGGAATCCGCCACAGGGATGTCTGAAGAAAACGAGGGCTGGAATACCCCAGGAGGGTTTGGGTTCTCCTGGGTTGAGATTTTCATGTAACAGCAAGCCACAGACGTGATGACCTGAACCGGAGGGCAGTTGGTGAAATGGCGCAGAAGTGTGGAGCTGAGGTCTCCACAGGCGTGAAGACCTGTAAGGACAAAACTACCCAGTTCTTTGGCACCACAGTCAGTAACTGGGATGCTTTCACAGGTAAGAATTCCGGTTGCCATTCCTGATGGAAAAGCCCCAATGTTTACTTGGGCTACAGAGTCTGAAATATTTATGTGAGTCTTTTGTGCCTGAAGAGTATTTTGTAACTCTGCTTTGGTTTGGCATGAATGCGGCTTCAGATGCAGATCTTCCACCCTCTGTTTCTTTTCATATGGCCCAGTGGTTGGTCCAATACTACTATCACTTTCACTTGCTGTCACAAGTTGCTGAATGAAGACATGCCATGAAGCCAGTGGGTTGACCCAGCCCACCACATGATGAGGAGAAGGACCAGGTTCAGAATGCAGACCTTGAGCTTTTCCTGACTACAACAGAAACACAGATTCGAAATATCACAGCACATCCAAAAAACAAACAAACTGTGGGTCACAATAAGACATAAAAAATCAAATAAAACATGGTCTGAGTGATAATACAAGCTGAAAAGTAATATCAATATGAAGTAATATCAATATCTAAAGAGGTTAAAGGAACAATGTATATCATTTTTAAGGATATTTTTAAAATATAATGTAAAATATAATATTTAATAATACAATATTTATGAGGGTCATACCCTTTGGTTCTCTTTGGTGAGTGCCAATAGGAGCTGTCTATCAAATTTGTTAGCCATAGAAACAAGGTTGGGATCAGCCTCAATTCCAGTAACATCTAGGCCGAGTCCAAAAGACAGAAACCGTGTCAAATGGCCCTGGAGGGATGGATCTAATTAAAGTAGGTCATTTGCATATTCAAAATATAAAGATTGGCATATTTAAAATAACAAAATGAAGCAAGACGTTACTGTACCTGTCCAGACCCAACATCAACCACACAGTAACAGTTAGCCTGATCACACAACTTCTTAACCAGCTAGGAGAGAGTACAACAGAAGAAACATTTTTAAATAGTCTTTAGTGTATCAAATAAGCTTATTGGAGTGTTGTTTCTTTCATAATGACATACAGAATCTTTCCACATTGCCATTACATGTATTATATTGTACCCATACCGTGCCTAGGCGGAGGATTTCGTGCTGCTTCTTGGGCTTGACGTGTTTACGGAAAATGTGTCCTAACAAAGAGCTCTGACTCTGGTTGGACTGAAACTCTGGCACTGCTGCACCTGCGTCCTGACTGTGCCCACCTGGTGCTTTACGTGGAAACGACAGCACATGTGCTGCTGTCCGCAGTGCCAGTAAAGACAGAGGCCACACAGATGGGTACCTACAAGACAAAATACCCTTTTGAAATTACTTCCATTCATGGGTTTACTCTATAAAATAATTTTATTAAAAAAATTGATAAAAGTTAATATGTTGAACTTTTCAAAAGAAGTAACTTATTAATTTTACTCATGCAGTTCACTGTAATATTAATTCATTTTAATGTTTGTTTTAAGGAGTTTACATTTGTACAATACAGGGTTATCATAGTTATCTAAAAAAAATAAACGATGTAATAAAATAATAACTAAAACTGAAATAAAAATTAATAAAAACTATACAGACATGTTAAAAACTTGAATTTGAATTAAAATGAGTATATAACAGTACATCAATGATACTAAATAACACTATGGGAAATATGGGAAACAAAAACCAAAACCAATTTTGGCAGATGCTTTCATCCAGAGTGACTTTTCATTGCATTCGAGATACATTTTATCACTTCATGCATTCCATGATAATCAAAACCATGACCTTGGGGTTGCTAAAGGCATTTTCTTGTTTGAGAACACTGAAATATGAGACTTTCCTTTTCAACTTAGTCACTACATTTATTACATTAACTACATTTATTATTATTATTTTGATGACTTACTGATGTGTAAATAGTCATATGTTCAAAATAATCTTTAATAGTTGTTGTGTTCATTTGTAAATCTCAAAGCATTTTCTAAATGAAAATGCTCTTGATATATTGCAAAGCAATGTTCTGAATTTGTAACGTTATCTTAATTTAAGGCACTAGAGACAGATACACAGAATAACTCATTTTACCGCCTGTCCTTAATCTCTTTATCCAGCAGCAGATCAGCGATCTGTGGGGGTGTAAGATCACCGAGGGCTTCCTGCCAGCTCACAGGCAGAGTATCCCACAAACTCTCACTGAAGAACTCCTGTGTGGACAGAGAGAAACACCGATACACTTTCACATGTATATTTCAGTATACCCGCGCATGCTCAGCTGACAGAAAACCCACGGCTTAAATGTGCGGGATTATTCGTTTACTGTTACACTTAGTCACTCACACTTGGAATCTGGACAAACGTTAAAAATAGAAGTTCATAAAGCCCAAACACTGAAAAAATACAATAAATTGTTGATTCATTACTATTATATAGGAGTCTGATATCCGTCTGTAGGTTGACAGGAGCGATGTCAGCTTCTCGGCTAGTTCTCTCTGCTCCTGCACTGAAAACGTCGCCACAAACATTTTTTATAACATTAGAAAACACCATGCAGATTAAACTGGGTGCCCTTCAATACTACGAATAGTCATTGAATTGAGAAACTAAATTGGAATATAATATTAGTTTTCTGTTTACATGTAGCAAACCGACGACATGTGTTCGCGAAGAGCGCCGCCTACCAGTGATGTCCGATTCGTGAACAAATCAATGAATCGGTTGAACTGATTCAAAAAACAGGCCTGACCAATTCGTTCGCGAATCAGAGTTGAATCGTACTTGATCTTCTTGATTACGAAAACTTTTGCGAAAATTGTGTTGTTTTTCGTTCTTTTATAATTAAAAAAATTGCATATAGTTTATGTTTGTTTTAAGTTTAAGCTATTTTAGTAAATTAAGTTAAATTAATGAAAATGAATAAATGTTTCCTTGGCCACTAGCTGAAATTAAATGTTATTTTTAAATGTATTTGATTTCATTTAACGTTTATTTTATTTCAGGTAACGAACATGTTTTTTTATGGATTTAGCAAAAACCATCAAATGTAAATGGGAGTTATATTTAGGCTTATTGTTAAATCCTGCAACAAACTGAACTGGGTCACACCCTTATTAATAAAAACGTAATAAACAGACCAATATGTGCTTACCATTACACGTGGCTTTTTTCCCCTTGTTTTTTCCGGAACTTTCTTTAATAGTAACCCCCTGATAGTAACGTTACTTCGTCACTTAAATTGAATCGCCTAATCAGGTTTGAGCCGGTTCTTCAAAGTGAGTTGTTCGCATAGTTGTTCGTAAGATTCGAACTTCCCATAACCCTCCGACCCGGAAGTGCACATGTATTCATGCGGTGTGCTTGGCTTGAACACAGAAATAGGAAAAAATATCAAAGATCGCCTTTTTGGTGCAAATGAAATGATGGTATGTATCCGGCAATTCTATCCATAATAGAGTCGCACAATTTATTTCGGTGTACACAGTGTGATAATTAACTTAAACTCGATCATGGAAATGTGTTTAAGATTTTACGAACCTTTCCCCCCCCCCCCTCAATTTGCAAGACTCGTGGACCTTGATTAAGTTACACGGACTAAAATTAGTTGAAACAAAAGTGAAAATGTCACGTCTATCTACCTGGTTATTAAAATATCATATCTCCCCGTTTAGATGCTAGTTACTTTAAAACCATTGTTTATAACAGGGGTTTTCAATCTTTTAGATACCACAGAAGACTCCAATCCTAAAATCTAAAATCCAGCTATATATTTTAATGTGTAACGTTAATGATCCAATTTATAATGTGAAAATGTAATATTATAAATATGATCGTGTAAAATATTTTTGGAAAATATTTAGTACTGTGCTTCAGCGCTGTAATGTTGTTATTTATTTAAATATTTGTTATTATTAATGTATTTATTATAATATTTTTTATTTAGTTATTTATATCTTATGTTTATTATTTATGTTAAATGTTTTTTTTTTAATACTGTTTTTCCTCTGAACCGTTCTACAGACACCCGTTGGGGGTCCCCAGACCCTAGTTTAAAAACCCATGGTTTAAAATCTTAAACAGACAAATTATGGTATCAAAATCATTTTGTGTGATCCCATTACAACATTGTTAGTTCTTGTCTTAACAGTCATTGTTATTTTCTCTCTATTTAAGAGTGACAACTTCAAGAAGACACCTGTTATAATCAACCTTTAAGAGTGAATAAGAATGTCAGGAATTATGTTGAACCTGGTTTGTGAGCCTGGTCCTGGAGGCAAATCAGGTAAATACAGAGGAAATTCCAAACATGATCGTTTCCTTGGAAGGAGACATTACCTGGAGCACAAGGGTTTGTTAAAAGAGAAACAAAATAAAAAGCGAAACAAAAAGATCCAGCAGCAAAAGAAAAAAAAGTCAAAAAATGCACAGCTCAACGGAGGAGATAGATCAACCCCAGATGCTATTTTTCCTAAATTTACCTCTTGTCTGCCTAATAAGACCAATGAGCTGCCTAGTTCTGCAAATACATTAACCCAGCAGTCCACATTTCCATTTCCATCCACTGCCAGCACATCTAAGAGGGACCCGACACACCAAGCGGCACCCCGCACTCTCGGACCATTAAAATACGTGGCATTGGACTGTGAGATGGTGGGAACAGGACCGAAGGGTTGTAACGGTGAACTCGCACGCTGCAGTATTGTTTCCTACGACGGTGATGTTATTTTTGATAAATTTATCAAACCCCCCAATCCTGTGACAGATTTCCGCACTCGCTATAGTGGGGTCAGGAGACAGGATTTATTCAATGCCACACCCTTCCATCAGGCACAAAAAGAGGTATGAAATAACATCTTTCCTCAAATGATCATGTTACAGTGCATTTATTTATGTAGTAGACAACTTTTTTTATCCATTTTTGAGCTACATGAACATTGCAGCTCACCAATTATATGTTATGAAAGCTTTTATATAAAGCTTTTTTTAAATCACAGAATTGTATTTGTTTGTGGACATATTACATTCCTAGTGGATCAGTAAAATTATCTCCATAAAAACGTATCGAAAGGTTAAAATAGTTTTCTGATTTAAAATTATGCATGCACATTATCAGTTATCAGCCAATATCAGATATTTTTTAATTGATTGGTGTTGTCTAGTTAATTGTTCATGTACATTTCCCCTATTTTTACATTTAGATCACCTTTGTCATCATCTGATACATTAAACACTGTTTAATGTAATATTTAGCAAATCTCAAAATTACTATCCAATTTTCATACTGTACATTATTATTTTGCTATGCCCAAATTCATCTGTAGCATTTAAAATTATTGATTTTAGTTTAGTGTTTTTTTATTTATCTATTTGTATTTATTTAGTCAAACTATTCTTGTTTTGGTTACCGACTATAATATGAAAATAATTATCAGCTTCTCATTATCGGCCCAAATTTTCATATCACTTAATGCCTAATTCAAATGCTTAACTAATTGTGTTACATTTCATTAATTCAGTGTGCTTAAAATAAACTAATTGAGTATTGACAAACCAGTAATATTCTGATTAGTCTTATATATGTTTTGCACACAGATCTTGAAGATATTAACTGGGAAAATGGTTGTGGGCCATGCCATCCATAACGACTTCAAGGCCTTAAAATATTTCCATCCTGCTTGCCAAACACGAGACACAGCGCGGATTCCACTGCTAAACCAGAAAGCTGGACTGCCCGAGCATCAAACTGTGTCTCTGAAAAGGCTCACTAAAGCTATCCTCAACAAGGACATACAGGTGGGTTTAACTCAGCACAGAACGTTGTAATGTGGCACAGTGGATGTCATTTTCACCTGTGCCACAAAGAGTTCTTTGAGTTCAGCTGTCAGACATTTCAGACAGTAAATCTGGAGTCAGTTCAAAAGCAGCTCTTGAATCCTAGGATTGAGAGTCAGACTATTTTTATATATGAAAATAAGAACAGGCTTTCAGTTTTTTCCACTGAGAAACTCTTCTTACATTTTCAGACAGGGAAGAGAGGCCACTCGTCAGTAGAAGATGCCAAAGCCACCATGGAACTGTACAAAGTAGTGGAGAATGCATGGGAGCAAAAACTCTCAGCTCTCAGCCTTTCAGCTAAAGCAATGGATCTAGCTCTGAATCAAAAATGATTTGATTTTTTTAAAAGATACGTTTTTAACTTGACACCTTTTATATCAGCTAAACAGTTGAAATACCACTAGGGGGCTCTATAGTTTCCGTGTATAAAAAAGGTATTTTAAGTTAACTCTATTGGTTCAGTTGCTTTAAAGAAAGTGTTAAGTTGCAAACGAGTTTGGATATTATGCCAACTGTACACATACATTTTTGTGTTCTGTTTAGAATCTTTACAGTAAGTAAAAAGAAAAACTGCTCTCACAGTTCCTCTCTCTGCCTGTTTGTCTTTCTGAAGCCTTTACGAACAGAACGAGTCAGCATTCTGCTTCTACTGAATTCAACACCACCACATGAATTACTGCTCCTCCTGTATTTAACTGTCCAAATGTACAGGGCCTCATCTGCCATCCTTGAGATTAGTCAAAGCTCTTTTCCCTCCAAACCCACTCAATCATCAGTCAGTCTGTGTTTAAGGATCTGGTCGCACCACTTTGGTGATGTTTGGGAAGCAGTCAGATCTTCCTTGCCCACCAGTTTCCCAGCGACTGACAAGCTTGTGATTTTCAGCCTTATATGGGATTCTCTTTTGCACAGTTCCTTAATAAAACACTAAAGCTCACGCACACCATCCATGGTGCAGGTCAAAGAAAACAAATTTGTATAATATAAAGGAGATTTGATCGCACCCTCACTTGCAAATACTTTATTTCACCAACGTTTTGGCAACAAGCCTTTGTCAAGGTGTGACACAACCATAAATGTTCTAACTAAAATGCTTAATACTTAAGAACAATACTTAAAATACATGCACTAACCTCAATTTTTGCATCTTTTTTTTTTTTTTTTTTTTTTGCATGATTAAAGGTTGTATCAGCGATTGTGGGTGACGTCACATCTGTTTGTGTTTGAAGCGAGATCCCAAACAAACCAAGTTAGCGCATTTCTTGTTCATTATAACAGCTTAATATTATTATCCGTGCACGAGCGCAAAAACAAACAAAACCCACCCCTGTCGCTGATTGGTTGGAACACTGTTTATTTTGGTTTTGAGTGGTGGTTGTACCCATTTGTTTTTGTGTGCAGATCTCAGAGCCTAGGCTGCCTACAGAGACACATTTTTTTGACAGCCTGCTTATGGGGCGGGCAGCTAGCGGATCGTTAGGAAAGGTTAGATGAATGTGATCATTTATGTTTGGCCATGAAATCACTGATACAACCTTTAAGAATAAGTATTCTTAAAATCATGTGAAAACTAAAATATGTACAAAAAATGAGGATGTGATTTCCTCAAAAGACCTCTGCAACCGATGAAGGTACAACTCTGTGGAAACCCAACTCTGAGCACTACGCTGGGCCGAATTACTCTGGTCCCAGAAGAGTTCTATAATCCAATCTCTCTCCAGTTTTTTCCCTCATTTCAGAGAAGTTTCCAGGTTGCCCACCAGGTTTACTCTACATCACCCGGACTCGGCGCACTCCTCTCATCCACACTTCCCACACATCGCTGGGCACTGGCCACCCAGGGGTCAATGAGACCCTCTCGCTGCTAAGAGAACGCTTCTTGGTGGCCTAACATGGCAGCGGACGTCAGAAGGTACGTGAGAGGTTGCAAGGAATGTGCCATCTCAAAGGGTCCGCGTCATCTTCCCTCCGGTAAGCTTCATCCTCTGCTCGTTCCCAACAGACCCTGGTCACACATAGGACACATATTCTCCAAGTCATGTCGTCTAATTCCCCTGAAAGGACTTCCCACCGCCATGCAAACTGCCGAGCTGATGTTCAACCGTATTTTCAGAGTTTATGGAATTCCCGAGGACATTGTGTCGGATAGAGGACCACAATTCATCTCCAAGGTATGGAAGGCTTTCTTCTCGCTCCTAGGTGTGACCGTCAGCCTCTCCTCTGGTTACCATCCGCAGTCGAATGGGCAGACGGAACGGAAGATACAGGAGATTGGACGTTTCCACCGTACCTTTTGTCATGGCCATCAGGATTCTTGGAACCAGTTCCTGGGTTGGGCCGAGTACGCACAGAACTCCCTACGGCAACCCACCACTGGACTCACTCCCTTCCAGTGCTTGCTCGGTTACCAACCCCCACTATTCCCCTGCTCTGGGGAACCATCGGATGTTCCTGCTGTCGACTACTGGTTCCGAGAGAGCGAGAGGGTCTGGGACTCTGTTCACCACCAGCTGCAACGGGCACTGCGCAGACGTAGAATGACAGCCGACCTTCGCAGCTCCGACACTCCAACGTATCAGCCAGGTCAGAAGGTCTGGCTGTCCACCAGAGACCTCAAGCTACGTTTGCCTTGCCGAAAGCTGAGACCCAGGTTCATTGGCCCCTTCAACATCAAGAAGCAGATCAACCCTGTCTCTTACCAACTCCAATTACCACCACAATACAAGATTCATTCTACCTTCCACGTCTCCTTGCTGAAGCCTTATCATCCCTCTGTTTCCACAGTGCCTGGTACAGCATACAGAGGCCGACCACCACGACGTCGGGGTCCACGGCCCTCAGGAGCGGCCCGTGAAGGGGGGGGGGGGGGTAATGTCACAACCACGCCAGGCTCCACCCTCCCACAATCACAGCGCACTCCCTCTCCTGAGTACTGATCACACACCTGCACATCACACACCTGCACATCATCAGTACTGCAATCACCTCCTGCTTATAAACCACACTCTCATTCTTTGTCCGGTATCGTTCGCATCAAGACGCTAAGGCTGTGCTTACCTCCTGGACTCCAATATCTGCTATCCAGTCTCCGTGTGATTTCTCCGAGTCAACAATATTGATCCTAATCACCAGTTCATTCTCCTGAGCCTTCGCAAATTCCAGTTTGGCTTCATCATCACCAACTGCAAGTATTCGAACTGTGTTATCCGAGGTTGATCGTCTGGATCTCTTCTCACCCACATTCCTTCACCTGCACTGCCGAACTTTCACCTGGTTGTTCAATAAACATTATATACTGACCAAGTGTCGAGGTGTCCATGAGCAAGACACCTAACCCCAGCTGCTCCTGACGAGCTGGATGGCGCCTTGTATGGCTGACACCGCCGTCGGTGTATGAATGAGTGTATGAATGGGTGAATGTGAGGCAAAATGTGAAGCGCTTTGGTGGCCATTGGGTCTGTGAAAGCGCTATATAAATGCAGTCCATTTACCATTGTAAAGTGTCATTGATGAAATCGGGGTTAATGGTGTGCTGTAGAGAGATGGCGACCAGTGACTTCATACTTTCCCACTTGTGGCTTGGATGTTGATGGTAGTAATGTCTGTAAAACGGATCAAGTTTTAAAATCCTCAATGGTTGGCAGGCTGAGGTAATCTTGTGGTACAGAAATAAGTACCCTTGCTCATTACTAAAGGATTACCATAATGCAAGAGCCAATAAATAATGTACTGTAGTTTTATGTAAACTTTTTTTTTTTTTTTTTTCATATAGTAATTTCCAGTATATGTTCAGAATGATAGTACCTGACTTTTCATCTTCTGCACAGAGTTAGTATGAGACAGTCAGCTGTGTTGATGTTAAATTCCTCTTTTTTATGACAGTATTAAAGAATATGTGATACAAAGCCATATTCACCCTCTTCTCTCTGTGCAGAAAAAAATTACCACCTATCATCCAACCTCTCATCTCTGAAAGTTACCATTTTAACAGGCTAGACACTGTGTTCTGTTGCAAATGCGGTTACCTTCACAGACATGACTCACAAATGGATCGGATTCAAACTTACAGATGTGAATCAGCAGTGACTCATGCCTCTAAACCATTTCAGACTGGTAATTTCTCTGAATAAGCAGTTGTCTCATCATTACTGGGGGATCTGGTTATTAGAGCTCACCAATCTTGACACAAATTTCCCTTCGCTTAGAGAGTCAGCTGAGCGAGTCACGGAAGGTGTACGTGCATGCTAAGATATTGCACTGGTCCAGAATCGTGCAGCTTATATTTGGCCATGACAATGTTTATTTAGCCAGGACGTGTGCAGATCTGAATGCTTACAGAACCATCTAATTTTCATTTAGTGGGTTGTTGTGGTCCAGCAAATGAGTGAACCTAACCATTCATTGTTGCACTCACCCCTTGGACTATGCTCAATACAAAGTTGATCATCCCTTTAAATAGGAATAGGCTACTTCTTTTAAACAATGGGTAGATTCAGTGAGAGTGAATGTAGGCCTATCCTCCATGTAACAAAATGATTAGCCTACTAATTAGCTGCTAATGCCACAGCTTTCATTCTGTGTTGAATATCTCTTGAACAAATATTAAGACAACACAAAAATGAAAGCTGAAGTTTTTAGATAAAAACAGATACATTATAGGCTAATTCATGACTGAATTATAATTATCCCTAATTTATGAATTATGAAATTGTGCGACAGACCCACAGTGGAGGAGAGCGGGGCACAACGTAACGCTTTTTGACTTTCTCAGTTTGTGTAAATCTACTTAGGGTTTAGAGTATTTATTTTTTTCCCACATTAATTTCCCACATGTCTAGTACAATTATGTGGTTTTGTTTTATTAATACAGTGTTTACTTTTTTCTTGATTTACCCCAAAAGAAGAAGTGAAATGTGACAACATGCCCCATAGGTGGGGTACATTGTAACATGTGAGGGGCACATTGTAACATCACCATATGACAGCTTAAAATGCTATCTGATCTAATCAAAAAAATATACAAGTCAAACCAAAATATTTTCTTAATAAAATACAATTATTAACTTTTTCATATAAAATAATGGCATTTTTTAATAATTAAAATAAACTATTTTTTTAGTTTGACAACAAACACACCGGAAAACACAGCTATACAGTTCAAAACAAAATAATAATTAATAATTTATGAACATTGACTCTCAGTCTTTATTTACATGTTTCTCATGTTTTCTCAATAGAATTCATAAAAGTATGGAATATAATAGCATATTTCTAATAGGGGCACATTGTAACGCAGTTGCAACATGCCCCAACTGCACAACAGGGGTTTAAACCCTGCTGTCTTCTGCTAGTTAGCGAAGCATTAAAGAACTATATCAACTGTTAAACAACAGATTGGAGATTAAAATAATATCAGATTTGTCTAATTTTAAATAAACACAAAAAAATAGAGATGAAAAATTAACTTAAGTAATGTACTTTTGCTATGGTTAAATAAATGTTCAATGGTATCTTACAAAGATTTCTGGATTTTTGCGCAATTTTTTCTCTATATGTTGAAATGGCAACTAGTAAATACACCAAGTTTCGTCATGCTGGCATGTGTGGAAGTATTTTAAACAAGTGTGTTACTAGCCCCGCGTTACGTTGTGCCCCGCGCTCCCCTGCTGCTTAAATATTGATTATGAAAATGTTTATTTTAGACGAAACTAACACCACTCAATCTTAAGGTGCGTTCACGCCATCTCATAATTACTGTAAAATATTCTGATTTGTAAAACGCACGTGATCGTAAAACTCGTAATTACAAATTAGACTCGTCATTTTCTGAGAGCTTGTGTACCACGCGACTACTGCGGATTTATTTTGGATTTAATAATGGAAGAGAAACGTATAAATCCTAATCCGAGGACGTGAAAAGCTCCCTTGCTACAGCTTCACGTGTTGTCGTCTCTTATACGGTAATTACAACATGGCGTGAACGTGTTATCTCACATAATTATGTTTATGATTCATAGGGCTATATAGCCTAGTCTTTTACACTTTCAAATATATTTAATCACTTATATAATTAATTAGATACTGAAACAAAAATTGGCTTTGTTTTACCATTGAGAAATTGAAGTTGTCTTCACCTCGACAGGTTTTAATTTTGCTTTAGGCTGTGCTTTGACAGAATCAGGCTAAATGTCGGCCAAGAGAACAGTTTCACAATTATGAACTCAACAACTGACACCTGGAGCTAAACTCTAAACCAACAGAAAGAATCCTTTTCTTTTCTTTTCTTTTCTTTCGTTTTTGTGCGTTAAACAATGGCACGCATCTCTTCTAATTTTCTCTAGGAGACGAGCTCGCTCTCTCTCTCTCTCTCTCTCTCTCTCTCTCTCTCTCTCTCTCTCTCTCTCTCTCTCTCTCTCTCTCTCTCTCTCTCTCTCTCTCTCTCGTAGCTCATTCTAATGTAGGACATTTTAACTTTTTTCTCCGTCCCTTCCCACTTTCTTCATCGGGCCAAGAGACAAATGGGAAAATGAACCCTGTTGCTTAAAGAGAGTGGGTTGATCGGAGATCCCCCTGCGCCTTTATTCCTCCTCTCTCTGACATCCTCTCTCTCTCTCTGTCTTTCTTCTCCTCTTCTGGTCGAGCTCACAGCATCCATCATCTCCAGTCTCTGCACTCTATGAGACTATACAATCCTCCATCTAAACGGGGGCTTTTCAAGAGGAATCCTTTGGAATGAGGTATGTGGCTTTTAAATTGACTATGATTCTGTAATCAGTTGCAATTTAGAAAACTGGATTCATGGCTATTGGATTTTGACTTTTGAGGATCATTTTTAGGATTAGTAAGTGAATTCTGCTTATGCAGAATATTTTCTGCCCTGCATGTTTTCAAGTTTGAGCACACAGCAGAAGATTCTATGGTGGACATTACTTTGCTGAATATGCATGTTGCATCATCCCATGTGAATTAGACATTAGTCTGGTACAGACTATTATGCAGAGCGGTATCTATTCAGAATATTGTTATAATATAGACTAACTTTGTTAAATAGGTGTTAATTGATAAAATGTGTCTTAGAATACTTTCTTGTTCTTCATAAGAACTTTTTTTTCTTTTTATGAATATTTTTTTGGCTGCAAATGGGTCTTTGAGATTTAAAGTTCTTGATGTTTCATTATAGGTTATTGAGATCAGTTTATTTGCATCTGGATTTTTAAAGCACCATAGAGTACAGTTTTGTGTGTGTGTTGAGGGAAACTAAAAAGGCTCTTAAATGGCATCAGGCTGTAAAGCCCTTTTTATTTGGATCCGTAATTTTGAGCATGTATCTATTCCTGGAGTGCTTGTAGTGAGAATTAATTTTAGAATGTGTTTGAAAGCTTGTCAGTGTTGGAAGGTGCATAAGTGTTCTTCACAGACTGAGCCTTCAAAGAGACGACACCTGCTCTTGACATTTCTAAGTGAATGAGTGTCAAGCAGAAACCGAGCCTGCAGTCGTGATAAATGAATTTGCAGCAACCGTAGTAAACGATCAACCTGTAAAAAAAAAAAAAAATCCATTACCTAACTATACAATTACTGCACAAAAATAGTCAGTTATTTAACTCTGCAGATAATATTTTTGAGAAGAACTGCTAATGTAATCATGAACAAAATTTGTTCTTGTGTATCAGATCACATATTAAATGTTATGTTGGGACATAAATATATACATCTAAATCTATATAAACAGTGCTGGATAGTAACAGATTACATGTAATCTGGATTACTCAGATTCCAAAAATTACACAATGGCAGTAAATAATTCATAATATATAGATTCTCCCTAATTCTTCTTTTTCATGTTTTAAATCTTCCTTTCTGAAAAAAACATATTGCTTATGTACATTTACAAAGTACAAAAACCAGACACTAGGTGGTTATAATTACATGGTAAAATTACTCTGTGTTTTTATATCAAAAGGGTACAACACTTATCCTATTCTATTCAATGTCATAAACAAGTTAAATCAAAAGTAATCAAAACGTAGTCAGATTATATTACCTAAAATGTGCAATGTAATGGATTACATTAGGCCTACTAACTAAATTTTTTTATTAATTTGAACGAGTACGTACGATTCAGTAAAGAACTATAATTTGTAAGTAATCTACCCAGCACTATTATATTATTGGATGTGGATATAAGGTTGAATTGAGTCTTGTCAAATGCCATTTTAACATTGTGCTGATTTTAGTGACTAGCAAATTTAAGTAGATCTTAATATTGTGCTTGAGACTAAAGGCTTTGTAAACACAAATATTAGAGGTGGTTGTACAAGTGGGGAAGAGATATCTGCAGCACACCTGCTGGATGATTTTGCTTTGTGGAGCAAACTAAGCAGAAATCCAGGTGCCAAATGTAGCATGAGAGACATGATTCATGAATAACTGTTTGGTCTACATTTGCAGTTATTCCAGTGCTTACACGATTGAACTTTATTCTATTGAGACAGTGAGTGGGAATGTCTGCAGTGTGTTTTCAGATGTAAAATTACAGCACTATATTCAGCCTTTAATCTTCACACAGTGGCTCGGCTTGTTTCTTAACCCATCGCTCAAATAGGTGTAACAGCGCTCAAGTCAGTCGATGTGTGAGTGTTTTTCAAACGGATGAATACCATCTGTCAGATTGTTAAACTGTTTGAGTCCTGCTGTGAGGCATCAGGCATCTTCTTATCCAATGCTGCTTTTCTTTAAAGACGTTGTGAACAAATATATACATTTATGCCTTCACTTATATTTAGTATCTCTTTTGGAATAAAAATAACATTTCCTCTCAAATTATTTAGGTGTTCTCTCTTTCAGTCACCATAGCCAAAATACTCGCCTGAACCCCTGCAGGACACATCTGACCTAATTTAACTGTACAGCACTCATGTCCCGTCCTGATCACCCCAATGTGAAGAGTAAAGGGTCACTTGTGATAAACCACTGAGAAAGTAAAGCAGCAGATTCCTCATTTGATTCATACATTAATGTCACGGTTTCCCCTTAAATATATTTTTTTATATAAATATTATGTTACTATGTTCAGATCTGAGTAGATTATTTAAATTATTTTAAACATGCATCTTAATGTAAAGCAAATTTAGCTTTTGCAGCTGGTAAAAATAAAATCGGCCTGTCTTTCTATAAATAGTTACTCTTTGCAATAAGGTTTAGTTTATCCATTATTAAGTTTTATTTATTAGTATTTATTTAAGTATTAGCATTTATTTAACTATTATTTTATATATTGTATTGTATTGTATTATATTATGTTATATTATATTATAGTTTCTTTTAAAAAGTAACACATTTATTAATTTAGGAGGTTAATGGCAATACAGTACTGTTCAAAAGCCTTTTTTAAAGAAATGAAAACTTCCTTATTCAGCAATCCTTATCTTTACTTATCCTTCTTCAGGAAGGATGCATTAAATTAATCAAAAGTGACAGTATGTTATAGTGTTACAAAGGATTTAAAATAAAGACTGTTCTTTTCATCAAAGAATCCTTTTAGCACCAAATCATATTAGATCAATTTCTGAATGATTAAGTGACACTGGAGTAATAGCTGCTGAAAGTTCAGCTTTGCCATCACATGAATGCAGTTATTTTTAATTGTAATAATAATTCACAATATTACTGTATTTTTGTATTTTGTATTTTATTATTTTATTATTCTTCCAGTTATATATAGTGGCTAATGAATCAGCACACAATCACAGAAAAAATGGCTTGCTTCCGCCTTGCTACATAAGGTGATGAATACGTTTTGTATTCTTTATTTTTATGTTGTTTTTTTCTGGTTTAGTTGTGAGGCTCAGTCCACTATTCAGATCCGTTCTTGTAGATTCTTGCAGAGCTCAGAGAATGGCTGTATGCTTGGCTAGCCAGATCTACCACTGCCTGCTTGGCTAAAAACACCTCAGACCTCTGCAGCCTGGGAGAATTATTCTCTCTGTCTCTCTCTGTGTGAGTTCCGGTCGGTCTGTGTTTCTGGGGACAGTGCTGTTGCCCCGGGTGATGGACGAAGTCACAGAGAGTCATGCGAGGTTAGAAATGGCTTGAGTTTGAGGGTGGGTGTGTCACTGAGAGAGAAGAAAGAGCAAGGCTATAGTGCCCATGACCAAGCTGACAGACAACACATGGAAAAGTAAAGGAAAAGATTGGTAAAAAGCAAAAAAAAAAAAAGCAGCATTCCACAGAGAACGATGTGTGAGGGAAAGTATGTCTGCTTTGTTTTACCATCCCTTGTCTGAGAGTTGATCCAAAAGATCCAGCATGGGCATAATATGGCAAACTAGTCCAAGACTAAAACCAAGTATTCAGCAGGGAATTGTGAGCTTCTTATACGTTCTGTACAATCAGAGAAATAAATGAAGTCATTCTGTATTCCAGACAGCAGATGCTTGCCTAAGCACTCTTGAGGTTGCTGGGCCCTGTCCTCCATGTTTGCCCTTGCAGCCATCTGGATTTACTTTTGGCCTATGGAAATGTTGCTGCGTCTGTTGATAATGTTCTCAAGAACAACAGGTTACAAGATAAGCAGAGACACAGATCAAATACTTGCAGATACTTGCTCAAACAGCAATGCAGCTTTGTTCAGTCCTTGGCGTTTCCTTTCCTTTTAGAGAAGGTACAGTGAATTTGCAAAAACACTCCTCCTCTATGGCGGTGACACACATTCGTGTATCCAACTACTGGTCAACCAGTTCATGCCAGTTTCCATCCATCTCTCTCTCTCTCTTTTCCTCTCAGGCGTACCGTTTCCATGTACCCATTACTCTACATCTCAAAAAAATGCACCATAGCGTCAGAACTTCCTGCTCTGGTGCGTCTGAGGCTTTTGTGCCCAGAATTCAGCTTTTTCTGGGCTTTGTAGTTCCTGTCTTATACTTACAGTAAACCACTTCTGTTGAACCTCTGGATCAGCGAGCTTAATGGGCCATATCTTTGGTAAACTTTTAAATTGAAAACAGGAGAAAAAGGTTATATCAAGGAAGTGTGCTGTGGAATTGTTGCTCTTTCAAGAAGATGCAAATCCTACTGTTTATTTTTTATGTTAAAATGTGGATTCTGTAAAAAGAAAAAACTAGTTCTTTTTATCGCTTTTTTTATCACAAATATACTTAATGTATTTAATCTCATTTTATTAACCAGTGTCTTTGCTGCTGACCTTTGATGATCCAATTCAACCATACTAATAAACAATATTGACTTAAACATCACATTTGTTTATTTTTCTTTGATTTTTATTTTCTGAAGTAAGTGTTGAACCTCTCCTTCATCCTATTTTTTGCGATCCAGAATGGCAGCACAGCTGAAAGGTTTGTTTTATATATTTTGTTTAAAAAGAAGTCCATAAGGAACGTTTGCTGAATTTGCTGTCCAAAATCAGAGTAAATCAGAGATGAATTGTTCAGAAGACAAAAACTCCTCTTCCATTGCATTTCCATGTCTGTCTCATTGATTAAAACTCACATTGCATCTGTAAATTTCCTAGCGTGCGCTCTATTAGGTAACATTACACATCAGAGATGATGATGGTCTTTCTTTAGGGATGTAGTCTGTAATTTCACATCTGGTTGGTTGTAAAAGATTCCATGTAAACAGAGAAGAGTAACAATTAGATACTTAAATGACCTCTTATTTTGCACAGACATCAACGTAAACATCCTGTTGTTAAAATAACTTAAAGTCAATGATATGTTATCATGTAAAACTGATGTAATCAACTCATTACCTTCCACTTCATTTAAACTGTGCCTGGAGACCTACTTGAAAATTGCTAAGTGTTGCTAAAACTTATTTGAATATTTGCATTTGGGTTTTTAAAAAAATCACTGAGATATTTAAAAATTTGTTCGAATAAACGGGACCACTGTTATGTCTACTTGCTTTTCTGGCTCACTCTTTGAGGCATGACACTATTCAATTCATTCAGTCTTTACAAACAGTATTTCAGTGGATCTAGCAGGTGGTCTTTTATTTATTTATTTCGGCCTGTCTCACATAGAAACCATCTAGCTGCTAAAAACATTCCCTTTCACTGGGCCGTTTAAACTAAACACAGTCTATATTGTGCTCTGTGTGTAGTTTAAGGGCTGCACAGAGACAGGTGCATAAAGATGACATTAGCGGTGATGGATGTACTGGTAAAGAGATGCTCATGTCTAGAAAAGGATAGTTAGTCTGTTCGATGACTCGTCAGAATTCAAAGCACATACAAGAGCTTCCAAAGACTCCAGATCTGAATCATGCCAGCTGGACATAGCACAGGGTTGCCAAATCCTCTGTCCAGCAAGCTCTCGACTAACCTCTGATTCAGAAAGGCTTGTAAAAAATTTGTAAAGCCAAATAAAACAAATAAAAAATGTTATTCAGAACAAATTATAAGTTTGCAACGTCTCCTTGTGTAAAGAATAAACACACCCTCTAAAGACTATGCTGTGGGTCTGCAGCGAAAATGTTGGCAAGCCTTTCTGTTTTGTTCTATTCAGGCTCATGCTTTTAAAACCAGAGGGCATCAAAGGGGGATCTGTGGAGAAGATTATTAAAAAATATAACATTTTCTTTAAACATGTTAAGTATTTGTTAATTGGTTTACATATAATATTACCTTATATTCTTATGGGAAAATTCATATTTTATGTGGATAATACTGTGCAATATCAATATATGTTTATTTACTATTGTTTATGAAAACGCCAGTTTGAACTTTAATCTTGTGGCTATTTTTTTATACCACATATGGTAGTAATTTGTAAGTAGTTCAGGGAGCATATTAATATTATTCTTAAATATATATATAAATGTGATTTTTTTTTTACATTATGGATTATATAATGTAATAATGTTAATGGTCTTGATGATAGTTTTTATTATTATATATTTATATTTTTTTGTATTATTATTTTTTATTATTATTGTTTTTGGTGGTCCCTGGGTTTGCTGAGTGACTAGGTGGTGATCCCCTGTCCTAAAAAGTTTGAAAACCTCTTTTTTATTTCCTTAATTGAACATATTAAAAATCACTTAAATTAGTCACTTAATGCTTTTATAATGGCTATTGAAATGTTGCAGTCAAACAGTCTGATTTTGAAAGATTAAAATATTTAGTATGTTAATTCACACAATCTGGCAACAGCAGAGGCACAAAGAACTTTCTCTCCTTCTTTCTCATTTTCTCACTTTCTCACACAAGACAGTGTGTCATTTTCCCATATGAATATCCATGAACTTACACTGGAACAGAATGCAGTTAAATTCAATGACATAAATTAGCTAAATTGCTGTACTGGAAATAAATGTTTGCTTCTTTCATTTCAACTCAAAGACTTTATGTTGTGGTATGTCACAGTTCCAGTTTGACTTTTATAATTCTGTTCTTTGACTTTGTTTCTATTTACGCGCTCTCTCTCTCTCTCTCTCTCTCTCTCTCTCTCTCTCTCTCTCTCTCTCTCTCTCTCTCTCTCTCTCTCTCTCTCTCTCTCTCTCTCTCTCTCTCTCTCTCTCTCTCTCTCTCTCTCTCTCTCTCTCTCTCTCTCTCTCTCTGTGTTCGGTCTCAGATCAGCGATGTTCCTGCATATACTGCTGCGTACCATCTGCCTCTTTGTCTTGTCATCTTCGGCCATCCAACGTCCTGCAGCAGGTTTGTCTCACCTCTGTTCAAGACACAGGATATGATCAATGATAAACAACAGTACAGGTCACAGACAGCTCTTGGAGTTAAGCATTCACACTATGATACCAGTTATAGAGAGTGTTATTGCACTTTTATTGCTTTCCAGAAATGCAAAGCCTGTAAATGCACAGTAAAATTTAATTATAAGCTTTAGTTATATATATTAGTGTAACTACTATGTACTTACATAAAAAATGTCTGGTACAATATACTTATTGTGTTCATGTTGTATTGCAAAACTTGGTAACACTTTATTTTACAGTGTCCTTGTTACATGTTACATATTATTTACTGTAGTAATAACAGTAATTAATTCATAGTTACATGCAGCTAACCCTAAACCAAATCATATTCCTAACCCTATACCCTATAGTGAGTACATATTGTTTATTTAATAATACTCAGTACTTGTATGTATACACACACAATGTATAATTACACTGTAACAAGGACACTGTAAAATAAAGTGCAACCCAAAAATCTTTTGCTGCTTTTGAGGTGGGATATGGGTAAAGTTAAAGGAACAGGTTTTGTGATCTGGTAATTGTAATTACCTAAATGAATTACAGCTGTAATTACATGCAGGTATTTTTTTTTAATTTAACTATGTAAAAACGTCTAAACATAATAAGTGCATTGTTGCATTGTCAAATGATACATTTAAATAGTAGTTAAAGACACTTAATGTAAAGTGGGACCTATATGGCAAGCCGTTTTGACTTTTATTCATTCGCAGGATATGAATATTTGATATCAACAATTCAATTTTCACTAGTTAAAATCCTAATTCTTGATATCAGGAATTACATTTCTACTAATAACAATGGATATTTTTCATATCAGGAATTACATTTCCACTAGTAAAAATCTTAATTCTTGATATCAATAATTAAATTTCAACCATTAAAATGTTTTATTCTTGATATCTGTAATTATATTTTCACCAGTGCAATGTCACCATAGGCTGCCATTCAAATTCAATTGTTGGTATCAATAATTGATTTCTTACTAGTTGAAATTCCAATTTCACATTATCATAAATATAATTTTTACTAGCAAAAATCATCATTCTTGATGTCAACAATTACATTTAGTAAAAACATCTACTAGTTCATCAGTAATTCGATTGTCACTAGTTGACAACACATGGTTAATTTCTGATATGAATGTGATTGTTACTTTTAAGAAAGCCATTTTAGATAACTGAAATTATATTGATATCAGAAATAAATATTCAGATAACAGAAATAACAAATGTAACATGTTGAAATACATTTACAGATATCAAGAATTAACATTTCAACTAGTGACAATTTAATTTTTGATATCAGGAATTCACATTTTTAGTTACAAAGTAATTATTGATATCAACAATTAGGTTTTTACTAGTAAGAATTGTATTTCTGAACTAGTAAGAAATAGTTTCTTGATATCAACTATTGAATTTGAATATGGTTACATTTAACTAGTAAAAATACAATTACAGATATCAAGAATTATATTTTTACTAGCTGAAATTGAATTGTTGATATCAAGAATTCGTATTTCTGCGAGTGATGACGTCATTATTGATATCAAGAATTAGCATTTTAACTAGTGAAAACTGAATTGTTGATATCAACAATTCATATCCTGCGAATTAATAAAAGTCAAAACGGCTTGCAATAGGACCTAAGCTTTAAATATTTAATCTGGAAATCCAATTCAGTTCAGTTTTAAACTGTCAATTCTTTAGTACCTCAATCATTCATGTCTTTTCCTCAGATGAGAACACATTCTTACAAGTGGCCATTCCTGATAGCCCAGTTTCTGCCATTTTGGGGGGCTCCCTGACTCTGCCCTGCCTGGTGAGTCTCTCCCGGTCCTTGTCTTTGGGTCGGCATGCCGTACTGACCCAGTCACGAGTCAAATGGAGCTTTCTTTCATCAAACAGAGAGACAGAGATCCTAGTGGCCCGTGGTGAGCGGGTAAAGGTGAGTGAGTTGTATAAAGGCAGGGCTTCACTGCTGAATTATGCTGCCTCTTCAGCTGATCTTACCCTCAGACTGGATGGGCTGATGCAAAATGATACAGGCTTCTACCGCTGTGAAGTCCAGCATGGCTTGGAGGATGCCCACGACCAGGCCCAAGTCAAAGTAAAAGGTGATTATTATTTTAAAGTCTCTGTCTGTGACAAAACTTTAGATTTTAATGACAATCAGTAGTGTTTTGAAGTAGTTCATAAGATTGTGATAGAAATTCCTGCTTAATTGCATTAAATAATAAAATACATACAAATACATATAAAAAAACATTTCATTATATGTATATATATATATATATATATATATATATATATATATAATCAAATAAATGCTGCCTTGGTCGACATAAGAGACTTCTGTAGTATATTTTATTTTAAAGATACGTATATATAGTTTAAAATAAAAAAATTATCAAAAATACAGTAAAAAATGTTATATATATTTTATTTTACAAATTAAAATAACTTGTAATGTAATTTATTCCTGTGAAAGCAAAACTGAATTTTCAGCAGCCATTACTCCAGTCTTCAGTGTCACATGATCCTTCAGAAATCATTCTTATATGCTGATTTGATGCTTAAGAAAAAAATCTTTATTATTATCAATGTTGAAAACACTTGTGCTGCGCAATATTGCTACAGCTGATAATAAAATACGGTGACTGTTTTCTTCAAATGCAGTGTTTTAATAAGACATATTTTCCACACTAGAAAATGGCTACTAATACTATACTTTATAACAGTTCAAAAGCTGTGATAAATGAGAGCACTAATATGCTGTGTTCTTAGGTGTTGTTTTCCACTACCGCCATACCTCGAGTCGCTATGCTTTCACTTTTGATGAGGCCAAAGATGCATGTGAGGACATTGGAGCTCAGATTGCTTCTCCAGAGCAGCTGGTGGCTGCGTACCACAGTGGCTATGAGCAGTGTGACGCTGGTTGGGTTTCAGATCGCTCTGTTAGGTGAGTGACAGACACATCAAATAACCAATTATGCCATCCTGTGAGGTGTATGCTTGCACTAGATGTAATGCAGACAAGTTTCCAGGGACTAGCAATTTGTCACACGTAAAGCAAAAAAGATATATATATATTTAATATTTGGAATAGATTTCTGAACAAATAGTGTGCAACAAAAGTCATTTTCTTCATAAGGAAATTGATTGTAAACAACAACATAAAAAAACTTTCAAGACAGACCTACTGCAAGCAACGCTGTTGTTAATCAGAGGTATATGCTTTTGTTAAAACAATCAACTCATAGTATTTTAACTTATTTATTAAATAATCATGTTTAACAGCAGAAGTCCTTGTGAAAAACTATATATTACCCATAATAATTCTGCAAAGAAATCTCAATGATTCATGACAAGCAAGTCGCAGCAAGGGAATTCTTTAGGTCTGCCCACTCCCATGAAGCACTGTGAATTTTTTTTTCTTCAAATCAAAGTTTGTAATGTTGTTATTCACCTCATAGCTGATTGTTTTGCCTCATGGCTTACATGAAGACTTTAAAAACAATTTTTTTTAAATCCTATAGGAAAGATTATTGGGAAAAAACTGGAGCCAAGGCTGCTGAAAAAGTGGGCAGACACTAACCAGTTCAACATTGTCCTGCCACTGTGTTTACAACAAGACTAAGCTTAGATGGTTTTGACTAATGACAAAAATACATGTATCTTTAAAGTCCATTAAAATGTTTTAATGCAATGCCTTCTTAGATACCCAATCCAAATGCCCCGTGAAGGCTGTTTTGGAGACATGGATGGATTACCAGGCGTTCGAAACTATGGCATGATGGATAATGATGAACTCTTTGACGTGTATTGCTATGTGGAGAACATTCATGGTAAACCAATCCCAAAACATTGCTAATATTCACTTTTACAAATAATGCTAACTATGCTCCAAATTAGCCCTTGATATTGGCAAGAAGTCCCAATTCAAAGAATGCACCCTGTTTACAATGACTTTTGAAAGCAAAAATTGTTTGTTCATTCATTGATGTAACTGTTTTTAGGGGAGGTTTTTCATGGGTCGACCCCACAGCGTTTCAGCTTGTCAGAAGCTAAGACATACTGTGAACAGCAGGGAGCTCAGTTAGCCACCACTGGCCAGCTGTATGCCGCATGGAATGATGGTCTGAATCACTGCAGTCCTGGCTGGCTTGCTGATGGAAGCGTTCGCTACCCTATTGTGACCCCTCGTGAACGGTGTGGGGGCTCTGAACCTGGTGTCAAGACAGTCTATCGATTTAGCAATCAAACAGGATTCCCGGAACCACATACTCCCCATGATGCCTACTGCTTCAGAGGTATTGACAGATGGCTTTGAATCTGGGTCAAAATTTGAGGGAAATAAATGCATTTTTAGGGTTGCACATAGGGTTGCCAGTCTGCCACTGTTCTGTTTGATACAGAATCATCCCGTATTTAAGGCATCAAATAAGCGTTACATATGAAAGCAATACGGAACTCAGCTTGTACCGTATATGCAGGCATACGCTAGAGTCTAGAGACCATACGTATAACAAACTCTAATTTGAGCGGTAATCATTCTTTTGGGACAAATCATTGTTTGATTTGTGTAACTGTGACATTTTTTTGTATGACATTAAAATTAAAATTCTAAAATAAAACTATTTGAAGACCTCTCTGTCAAAAATGAGATAATAATATTGAGTGAATGCTCTCCGCACATAGTATATGCTCATCAAATACTTTCACTTCAAACACACAAAATCCCAGCCTCAGCCCATTCCGAAATGCTGGTACTTGGGTAGAAACCTATACATAGGAGCCTGATAAAAATGTTAATATTAAACAAAAACTTTAAATGGACTTAGAGGCTTTTGCATCTGAAGTCTTCATTTGTGAAAAAAAGAATAAAAAGTAAATGTTTTCTTGATAATATTTGAACAATTTACTAGTACAATGACCATGTAAAAGCTAGCCATTTAACATTTATAAACAATTATTTAATGTTGTTGTCACATTTTTAACAGTTCAAAAGCTGTGATATATGAGAGCACTAATATGCTGTGTGTTCTTAAATATATTTTTCTCACACAGTATGAATGGATTTTTTTAATACATGAAAATATACAACTGCTTTTATATTTTAGGAAGGGAGTCCCCTCCCACTGATATCATAATGTTTGGGGGTACTTGGTATCAAAAAGTTGGAAACCCCTGACCTAAACTAGTAATCATAATCAATCACCATACAATCATAATGCTTGGATAAATGTATCTCTTCTACTCTTCCTCTGCAGCTAACAGCAACTCTCAGACAGTCCCACCTATAGATTATATGGCAACAGAGCCAGAGGACACAGAGCAGCATATTGTGACTTTAACAGATCCCCAAGAGGAGTACAGCATGGATCAGGTCACTCAACAGTCCGAAAATGAAGCTCAGGGGGCTGTTGAGTCTTTCTCCGTCTACAGTACACAGACTACTTCAGAACCTGAGAAACCCAACCATACCCCAAGCTCTCAGGAAGATGTCACTGCTAGCACCAAAAAAGACATCGCCACCCCAGCCAGCACAGACAGATATCTTGAGTCCACTGAGGTCACCTGGCAAAAAGTTGAGTCTGTTCCAGTGATTTACATGCATCCAAAACACAATAATTTCATGCAAGAAGGAGAACCAGATATAAAAGCTTCAGCAATTGATGGTGTTAAGAGCAGCAATCATAGACACTACCAACCAATGCCAGATACCAACTTTGAGCCAGGAGAGCCCATTGACTATGTCCCACTTACAGAGGCTCAGCCTGAGACGACAGAGGTACCGTCCTCTCAACCGAAGGAGATAGATGGGTCCAAACACTTCCAGCCCATGCCTGACACCAGCCTAGAGAATGAGGATGAAGATCATGTGACTAGCGAGATCTCTACGACTACTGAGGGTACTACGATGAAATATGACTCGAGCAATGACACCACAACGTACAATGCTCCAGTCCAGTCGGGTCCCTCAACATATCTTCCTGAAGGTGCTACAGTTGAGGAAAATGCAGGAAATATCACAGAAGCTCCAGGGTCAGATGAAGACCGAGGTCTTTTTACACATACAACTCAGTCCACCTCAGTAAGAACATCCAGCACTGAAGATTGGTTGGATGGTTCCGGTGAGGATTTGTCCTTGTTATCCACAGAAAAGGTAGAACATTTGGTCACCCCACATATATCAGAGGCATATGGAGCATCGACAACTGAGACTGAGACAGAGAGCTTCTCATTAACACATCTGAACACTGTTAGCACAAGTAAGTAAAAACTAAATATTCACACAGTGTATCAGCAAATAATATTTTTGTGTCCAAAAATATACCAAAATCAGGGTTGTGTGCCATTCAGAACTGAATTGAAAATGCCTTTAAAATTGTTTCACTTTTAATTGTTCAGTTAAAATGAATTGAATTATTTATTTATTTATTCATTCATTCTTTAAATCATGTTTGGAAAGTTTTTGGAAAAAGCCTTAAACTCTAACGGTTTATAGGTCTTATGGACAAAACTTCCCTTGCATCCTGTAACAAATTCTTCCCTCGCGGGTCAAAATGACCCGAAGCCCTAAAATTATACTTAATTTGTTTTTGTCCAGAAAGCTTATTTTATTTCATTTTGAATATTTTTTTTATTTAATGCAATTTTTTGGGGATATATTATTTTTTATTTTATTTACCTTTAAATGACTAGATTTGATCAATAAAAATAAATAAATAGTAATTTAGTAATTTAAGCACATTCCATCAAATTCTTTCAACTTAAATTCAAAATAACTCACAATGTCATGCATAAACCTTTTAATTCAGCTCAAAATATCTTACATTGGTTGTCTTTGCCGACCTCTTGTGGAAAAAAAATAATATAACATGATCTTTCATGACTCTGGCCACTAGATGGCCTTATAGCACTATTTGGAGCAAATGAGCTGTTCCGCTGGGTCCTAAAGTCAGTTTTGCTTCAGTATGCATTTAGATACACATGTAGACATTATAATATCATTTTTTAGCAAGGTAGCAATTTTAGTTTGAATTTTGAGCATTTTAAGGTTTTTCTATGTGTACTGAAGCATTCCTCGCATTCCATTAATTCCTATAGGGGTCAAATTGACCCGCGAGGGAAGGATTTGTTACTTTTTTAAATTTCAACCTCAAAACTCCTTGAATCCATTAAAAAAAAAATCTGTATTCGTGGTTCAGGCGCGACAATAGTCCTGGGGTCTTGGACAACCCCTCAACGACAATAAGCGTTCCCGGTGAACACTCAATTTATACTTTTTTTTTTTTTTATTCTCGAGGGAAGGATGTTAAACAGGATGGATGATTGATTGATTGATTGATTTCCATGTATTGATCATGGTTATAAATGACATTAAAATTCTTTGATTTTGTTCACTGTCAGCTTTTAAACCCATTCATGAAAACAGTTCTGCAGACCATCACAATACTGAGGAGACCTCAGCTGTTCCTGTGTCTCTTGGTGCAGATGATGATGATGATGTCAGTGATTATTCGACTGTGAGCACAACACTGAAGGAAACCGAGTCGTCTGAAGGTTCTGGCGATCATGATGATGTCCTGCCAGTCACACTGCTGACCACCCCTATGCCTTATCTGTTTGGCACATCAACCACACATGGGCCTGCACAAGTAGAAATCAGTTCTCCACAGGAAATGGAAGGAGTCCTCCCTGAAAGCACCACTCCATCTGGCCTTGAAATTGTGGAAGAAGAACTTGAGAAGGTGGAGCAGGAAGAGCTTGGAGGAGCACCTAATCACCTAATCACCACATCCACTGAGCTTAATAATTCTACTATAACTTTCAATGTTGAAGACAGCGATGAGGATGAGTCCTCTGGAGAAGGAGAACCTCCAGGAAACTGGTCTTCAGTTACTAAGCTTCCATACTCAAAAGTGGCCACCATCACTCCCTCTAACCTGACAGATATGCAGGAGCATAATGAAACCAATAGTGATAATGAAGATAATCAGGACAGCACTGTGGGACCCACAACAAGTCTGGAGGTAACATTTCTTCCTCATGGGACCCAAAGTCCTATCTGGCCATCTGTGGCCTCTTCCACAAACCCAGGAGAGTTCAGAGCAGATGTTGAATTCAGTGGAGAAGCTGCACTTACCACAGACATCAAAGCCTTAAGTGAATCTGACTCCACCAATGCTCCCATCAATGAGCACATGGAGCAAACCCAGAAACCATCCACTACGACAACTGACAATGAAGATGATGATGGTGATAATGATTATGATCTCATGACTAAAGCAAACACAGACAATACGGAAGATGAGACTCATGTTAAAACCACACCTGAGTCTGCCACTCTACCTGCCAGCCCTACACAGAAAGTGTTGGATAGGACAGGCTACATTTCAGGTAAATGTCAAGGTCTATTTGAAGAGAGAAAAAAACTTGCCTAAAAGTATTTTAGTGTTATTTAATGATAAAATATTAAACTAGGCCCCTTAAACCAGTGTCATTATATACTATTATAGTGTTTATTAATATTTTGAATGATCATTTATTTTTATATTTAGTTTCAGCTTTAGTAATTTTGTTATGTGCTTTTGCCATTTAAAAAAAATGCAAGTAACATTTTTATTTAAAAAATAATATTCAGTTTTATTTTATTTCATTTGATCATTTTAGTACTTCATCTTATTTAATTTGTTATAGCAACATTTTTCGGCTTTATTTCAATTAAGGATTCAAATAATAATTTTTAATATAGTTTAAATTTTTACTAAATAACAAATAAACCAGCTGGGAGTGATTACACCTTTTATTGGTTGTTTAAATCACTTCAGCAACACATAAGATCTCCAAAGGTGGCGCTGTTTATCTTCCAAACCTTGGCAGATACAGTACATCTCTTTAAAATACCTAGAAACTTGATAACTGACATGCACTAATCTGTAACAACTGATTAGCACGTCTATCAAAGACTACAGTGCAGACAGATAGAGAGAATTTATCAGAAGTGTGTAACCCCCATCACAACAAATAGTTTCAGTGGTGCATGAAGGAGGAGTTTAGTGGGGCCATGATGACTGGAAACTGATAAGTTACAGAACAATCAGAAAGAAAAGGCAATGGATTCGGTTCTGCTATGGCATGTTTTAGATAGAATGAGATTAACAGAGCCAATCAGGAATTTAGTTTTAGCATGTTCTTTGAGTTGTGGTCCACAAGTTGTGTATAAATGGTCTCAACATGGCTTTTACTGCATAGTAACGCCACCTTGTGGTTATAATCATACATGATTTTACATCCTTCACTTATGTGCAATATTTTATTAGTCAGCTATAAAAACGTGAATGGCCTTTTAGATGCATGTTTGGAGAACCCATGTAAAAATGGAGGGACTTGTGTGGACAGTGGAGCAGGTCGTAGATGTCTCTGTCTACCCACTTATGGAGGAGACTTCTGTGAGACAGGTGAGTTACCTGCATGCCTCATTATAATTTTACATTGTAAAAAATTTAGCAATTGTAGGATTTTTTTTTTTTTTTACCACAACTGCCTTAAATTAGACCATTTAATGCACTTAATGTTGTCCTCTCTCTTCCAAAAAAGATCTAGAGCACTGTGAACCAGGATGGGAAAAGTTCCAAGGGTTTTGTTACAAACATTTCACCAAACGGCAGAAATGGGAGGTAGCAGAGCAGCACTGTCGCATGTGCGGAGGTCACCTGGTCTCTGTTATGTCACCTGAGGAACAGGAGTTTATCAATGGTATGTCTGAACAGCTGTTCGTAGAGGTGGCCCCTTCCTGTTGATCCTATCAGTTTGACTTTAACATCATATGATGTTAAAAATTTAATCTTGATGTGACCTGATTTGAACCCAATGAATGTGTTTAAGCAGGTGTCATTTTCAGGTTGTAGATGTTGTCAGTCTTCACAAGTGGTGTTGATTTTTCAGTAACTCTTTCTGCCAGTAGGTGGCGCAATAGTGAGGGATGAGTGAATCATCATTCGTTTGACCAATTTGTTCAAAAACACTGATTCAATCAGCAATAAACAAAGCGAAGTCTCTATTATAAGTCATTGAATTTTTTACTCAGCCAATTTGTAAAAAAAAAAAAAAAAAGTATCTTTCTTTGGATACGTGCACTTCATGGATAAATCTGCTTTGGCTTGTTTGGAGCTATTTTCATTGGTAAAGAGCAAAAATGGACTAAGCTAATGCCAATATTGCCTCTAAAATGTAAGTAAATTAGCCTATACTAACTTCTTGTTTACTGAACTGTTACATAAAAGCAATATATTCCGCAACCATATGACTGAATCAGAAAAGCAGCACTCTTGCCTGAGTGATATTGCTTAAATAAAGAGTCAAAAAGAGGTGTGTCAAGCTGCTGAAGCGGTTTAGCTTACAGTACATAAAGGAATTCATAAAGGACCAAGTTTGTTGACATAACATTGAGGGGCCCAGCATTTTCCTCTGCATTTCTATACAATCATCAAAACGTTGAAGGGCTTTGAACATGTCACCTTATTCATGTCAGTGAATGAGGGTTGTGTTAAAACAGCCCATGCTTCTTTGTCATATATGATGCATCCGGGTGTTAAACTGGTCTGTGTTGTGTCTTACTGACAGTGTATGCTGGTTATTTGGCATTTCTTTGCTTTTCTCTTTCCTTAGATAAATACAGGGAATATCAGTGGACTGGTCTCAATGACAAGACCATCGAGGGAGATTTCCGTTGGTCAGATGGGAGCCCTCTGGTGAGCCTACTTTGGCTTTCTGTAAAAAAAAGAAGAAAAAAAAAGAAGACAAAACCAAGTGTATCTTACTAGTTGAATATTACATGCACTACAGCAGGGTTTTCTAGACTGCAACTGCAAGTTCCAATATTTAATTCAATTTATTTATTTTTGTTCCCCTGTTTTCTCTCTCTGTCAGCTGTTTGAGAACTGGTATCGTGGACAACCAGACAGCTACTTCCTGTCAGGGGAGGATTGTGTTGTCATGGTGTGGTATGATGATGGCCGTTGGAGTGATATCCCTTGCAACTACCACCTTTCCTACACCTGCAAGAAGGGCATTGGTGAGTACATCACCTTCTGCAGGGACGCGTTGGCCCAGAAAGAGCAAAAGATCATCATTGTTTGTTTCTCTTTAGCAGCGTTCTGTGGTCAGCCCCCTCTTGTGCTGCACGCTAAAATGTTTGGACGTCGTCAACTAAAGTACAGGGCGAATTCACAGCTACGCTACTACTGTGAGCCCGGCTTCTTCCAGAGACAGAATCCTGTCATCACATGTCAGAGCAACGGACAGTGGGAGGAACCTAAGATCACTTGTACACCAGGTGAAAATTTGTATTGTATTATATTATATTATATTATATTATATTATATTATATTATATTATATTATATTATATTATATTATATTATATTATCCTAAGCATCAATGGTGTTGCAAAACTAAAGGATTGAGCCATTGAATCCCAACAGTTTTTCGTGCCGTGTTAATTTCATGTCTTTTGTTCACAGTAGGACCAGCATACTTAAATGGAGAACTGGTAACATGGCCCACAGGTCAGAACAAGGAAATAGTCGTAGAAGACACCGCAACAAAAACAACACCTGAATATAAGGATATAAAATGGAACTTTTGAAACAAGCACACTGCATAGCATTTCATTATTTCTTTCATTCTCCTGTTTATTATGTTGTTCCTTCTTTTATCCTCCTTTAAGGCGTTCATCGATCAACTCTACAAAGTTCAATGTTATATATAGAAATCTGTCCCACTTAACTTTTTTTTCTTTAAGGGTAAAATCGGATAACAGTTTAAGTACGGCAAACATCTGTAACCGACGACTTAAGACTCATTAACTTTTTTTTTCTGTGTAGACCATGACACTGAATTACATTTTGTAATTCTAAGATCAAACCACACTTGATAAAAAGCAACATCCAAACAAAGCTCGTAACTGTTGGACCAGGCTCCCATTTCTTTTTGTTTTTGTTTTTTTAATAAATTATAAGATAAACCTATGAACACATGCTGTCTAACATCAGCTGGTCTGAATTACTTTGTTTTATGTTGTTGCCCTTTAGCATTACTTATCCATTCTTAAACATTCACAGTTTCCTGTGTTTTCCCTCGATTTTCCTTGCCAACCAAGATTCAACTTGAGTTGAACAACTCAGACTAACAGTGACCTAACTTAATAAACAGGAATATTCTGATTCGTGACGTTGGTTTTAGAATATATATAGAATAGTGAAATACATAAAAATGTCAACTTTTTCTACAAAAAAAAAAAAAAAAAAAAAAAAAGTCATTGGGTCAGCATAGCTTTATAAAGCAGGGTAGATATGCAATCCACAAATGTTTGTGATCTCAAGACCTACGTTGAGTCTAATTATGGGAAAACATTAAACTTGGTGCTCGGTTATTCAGGTCTGTATTGTAGGCTACTCTGGAGGATGGCCATTTTTAGTAGACTACTCGTTTTGTTTCAGAAGATGCATCACTAACAAAATCATATTTTAGTTTTTGATAGCCTGATACCAGGGCATATTTCATCTAGAAACTGAATGAATGAATGAATTACATTCCAAGCAAACAGAGCAATCACAATAAAAAAGTTATTACAATAAGAAATGTGTTTATGAATTTTCTTGATTATTATTGATTAAGAATTAAAAACTCTTTGGTTAATATTTGGTTAGCATCACTAGTTGAAATTTGTGAAGAAAATAAAACACTGTGCATGTGCATGTAATTTATAAATGACACATTAGGACTGTTACAACAAAACCCAAATCTAGCAGATACAGATTTCATATTTTTTTGGTAATTTTATTTTTTGCAATCTTACTATTTTGCTCATTGACTGTTAAAATAAATAAATAAATGAAAATCCAACCATCAGGTTCCATCCAGTATATGGTGCTACACAATCTAACATTTAGGTGCTATATATATTTAATACATGTTGCCACTGAAATATGCTGCACAGCCTTAGTCGGAGCTAAAGAGTTAACATTTCAAACTAGCAGCTATTCGAGCATAGGCTAAAGACTTTCTGTGTCATTCCACTCTTAATTTGAAAGTGAAGTTTTCACAGAAGGATCTAATATTTCCTGCTTTAAAACAAGCTTATTAAATGAGCTGTTCTATAACCCAGTGCTAGCTGTAACCCAGTATGCTAAGCTATGAATAGCTCATACATTTCCTTTCCTGCAGCTCTACACTCCAGAGAGCCTCTAGTGGTGCCCATACGTACAAATGAAGGATACGTTCTGCACCTTTTAGGGACTTCACATTTAGGCTAGTGTGTGCCGTAAATGCAGACAGCCTGTAGCAAAAATTTTCCTGGCAGCAAAATCTGGAGCAGTTACCTGTAGCAATAAGCCCCATAAAGATGCAAACTTTTGCTTGGATACCCAAAGCTCCGAACCCCTGGTTCTGCAATCCCTCCACAACGCTCCCTCGGGTTGATGATGGGGAATCGTACACTACCATCCTGCAGCCAGCCTCCATCACAGCGGTCCAGCTGCTGAAACTTCCAAGATGAGAAGATCTGACCAGTCCTCGCTAGACCGGCACCCTCCCGTCTGCAGGCATGTTCAGCCTCGACAAAATTCAACTGCCCTGGAATGAAGAAAACAGAGCCTGGGAAAGCAAAAAAGTGAGTTTTTTTTTTATTTATCTTTTATTTTTACATTTTCACATTTATAAGATGAAAATAGAAATAATAACCCCATGTACAAGTTTAGTGAACAACTGTGATCTGCACAGCAAACTGAACTGTTTTCTAGGTGCAATTCCTATATCTGTCATTGACATTCAAGTCTCCAGTGCCATATTCAACAGTCTCATGTGAACATAGTGAAAGCTCAAATGTCTTTCTACAGAGTAACAGACTCTTAGTCTTTCCTAAAGACAAAAACAAGAGATCTGATCGGGTGTGTCTCTTTTCTTGTCTATTGGGGAAACAAACGGCAACTGTTTATAATGGCCATTTATTTTAAACAGAAACATTTTCAGATCTCTCCCATAAAAGACGTCTTCAAGCTGATTCAATTTACCTGAATACTGTAACAATTATTGTTTCAGGAAAGGATCACAGATCTAGACACACAGATGTTGGAAAAAATTGATATACACTACTGTTTAAAGTTTTGGGGTTGGTAATAAATATGTTTTCTCATCATCTGAATCCCATTCTAATTCCAATTACAGCAGATTCCCTATTCACTGACCCTTAGTGGTAGAGGTGAAACAGAAAGCATCATAGTGGTCCCGTGTTTTGTGACGAGGTCCATAACTTCGGATGCCTGATAGAAGATCCCCTCCACAAGCCGGCCGTGGGTGCAGGACTGGGTAATTGACAGTTCCATCGCTCAGCCATCCAGCATTGCACCAGTCCAACCCTTCAGTCCAGGCTGAAAAGTAGGATCATACATGGATACATACAGGTATAAGCACCAAACACATACCAGTCAACTTAAATGGAGTTAGGCACACTTTAGTTAAGGGTCCAATTCTTACTATAACTGTGACTTTTGCCCATAGCTTTTGCCTCAATCTCCTAATTACTGCTTGTTAATAATTAGTAAGGTAGTTGTTAAGTTTAGGTATTGGGTAGGATTATAGGGTCATGCAGAATAAGGCATTAATATGTGCTTTATAAATACTAATAAATAGCCAATATCCTAGTAATATGCATGCCAATAAGAAACTAGCTAATAATGAGAATAGGACCCTAAACTAAAGTGTTACTGAAAATTCTGTCATCATTTACTCACCCTCAAGTTGTTCTAAACTTGTATGAGTTTCTTTGTTCTGTTGAAAACAAAAGAAGATATTTTGAAGAATGTTAGCAACCAAACAGTTGCTGGTCCCCGATTGACTTCCATAGTATGAAAAAAAAATTAAATGATGACAGAATTTTTGGCTGAACTATCTTTTTAATGAATCTTTGGACAATATTGCTCAAAAGTGTACAATTGCACATAAAAGTAAACAATCAAAATGTCTAAATATTATTATTACCCCGGTAAAGCTGCTTGTAGGTGGCAAGTGTTGCATCCTGTTCAGCACAGGCCTTTTGAGCTTCAAAGAAAGTGAATGTGTACCGACCATGGTGACTCTGATAAGGAAATACAACCCCTGAAATACATGGTAAATTATTAATTACACCATAATATATATATATTATAATATATTCATTTATATTATTATGTAAAAAAAAATATTTATGGTTAAAGCTGCAGTCCGTAGCTTTTTTTGGGTTAAAAAACTATCCAAAATACATATTTGAGAAAATACATAACCAGCCCGTGTTCAAAACTATCTGCTTGCCTTAGCTCGATTCAAAACGGTAAGCTTGTAATAATGTTTTTATTTCTAGTGGTACTGGTGGATTTCCGCGGGAGATTCGAGCATGTCTTTGCGTCATTACGTCACATCTGTACACATAAAGGAGGAGTCTCGGCTAGTAGGCTATATTGCGTGTGAGGATGTTGGAGGTGGAGATTTATAGCCTTTTCTCACAGCACTTGATATAATTAAACTTATCAATTTGATGGCGGATCCAGAAAGGTTCAAACGACAATCACCAGTGACAACTAGAGATTCACCCGCTGTAAAATGCAAAAGACTTCGTTCGGACTTCGGAGTGGCTACAGAAAAAGCAACCGGCCCATGCGAAAACAATGATAAATATCGGAAGGACATTACATGTAGTCACGCAATGCTGACGTTGTTAACATTAACAATTTGAGAACAAAGTATAATTTGCACGGTTTTGCATGATATGATAAGCGATTTTTAGATTTAATCAGCGCGATTTACTGCAAAGTCAGAACCAGAACAAAAGTGGATGTTTCTTACTTGTTCAGATGACATTTTCCGGTGAAAATTATTATGTTGGTCATACTTCCAAAAAGAATAATCTGTGATTCTGAATGCCAGTATCCACACCGGCACGGTGACTGACAGCTGCACACTCTCCTCAAACATTGTGTTCATTCTGTGCCGTGTCGAAGTACAACTCACGTAAAGTTGATAATTCTGCGAATAACTGCAATTGCAGATTTCGAACAGAGATGGTGACAAAGAGGAAAAACTGCGGACTGCAGCTTTAAGCATTATAAATTATCTAAAATATATTTTTTATTATTATTAATTATTATTATCCTAATAAAAGCCTAATTATAACAGGAATAACGACAGCAAGACTACTTCTACTACTACTAATAATTATAATCATAAATTAGTATAGTAGTAGTAGTAGGAGTAGTAGTCTTGTTTTTATAACTTATGTTATTATTATTATTTACTGTTGTTATAAAAATCAAGATTATTACCGATTGTCGCCCTGTCCTACCTTCAATCCTCAGCGTAATAGTAACACTTTCATCCTCAATGCCGTTGATCAGTTCACAGCGGTAGCTGCCATCATCTTCAAGCTCCAGATCGGTCAAACGGAGGGAAACATCCCGGTCATGTGCACGCAGGAGAGACGCTCGAGGCCCCAGTGAGCCATACTGCTTATCTGCATGTCCATTTGTTATAAGCACTATGTTTTCCACTCCTTGACTAGGGGGGTCGATTTTTGTCCACTTTACTCTGTACTGCAGTGGTTTGATCCTCATCATGCAGGGCAAAACAACTGTGTGTCCACGACGAGCAGTGACCTCAGCATGTACCAGAGGTTCCATGAGGTATTTTAGCTCTTTGCCCTTGTCTAGAAAAAAAACATTGTGTAATTTAATATTGTTAAAATGTGTAAAGATATATATTTTTTTTTTTTGTCTTGTAATAGCTTTCAAATCATGTTTACATTGTAATCACAAAGTCTCTAATATCAACTGCAATACCTTGATTATGATGGTGGTATTTTGCAGAGGTACACAAGATGAAACAGGCTGAAATCACTAGCAGAGCAAAATAGTTCATTGTGGATTCCATCATTTCCCTAAACAACATAATGATGGTTAAAGTTGAATTGATATTTGATTCAAACTGAAAGCTTTCGAGGAAAAGACAAGTCTCACCTTAGTCTTCAGCCTTCATACTTAATTTAAAAAGGACATCCAGAGAAAGTCCATAACATTAATCTTCTTCTCATCTAGAGTCACAGATGCTCTGGCTGCAGTGGAGAAACACACAGATCAGGGTCATCTGACAAGTGTTGGATGTGTACGCAGGCTTTTTCTCTCCTCTGCTCCAGATGTTAATGAGTATCACACAGACTCTCATTGTTCCTTTCTCTGAAAGACAGACCAGGAATGCCTGAAACCAGTAAACCTCAGATGATGGAGGCAACTTCACATTTTTGTGTGGCCTTCAGGTGAAAAAACATAATTTTCCAACCCACACAGTGTGTTTTTGTTGATGAAGCAGAAGAATTAAGATGCTCATTTGATGTCTCCCAGGAACCAGTCAATGGATGTGATATGTAGACTCGAAAAAGTTTATATTTCATTGCACTAGATAGAAAATAGCCTTTCAAACCAAGTGGCACCTGCAAACATACTGTATGATGACAGAGCTCTTTTCTCAACCATCGTGTGTATTTTATTACATTTACATCAATGAACATGATCCACTAATGTTTGATAACCAGAAACTGAAAAATACTTTTTTGTCTCAATTTATATGTATTAGTATTAAGATACCATTTTTATTAATGCTTTTAATTAGTTTTTATCTTTATTTTTTATCTTTTAATCTTACTAACAGTTTTAGTAATTTTGTTGAGTTTTTTGTCTTTTAATATGTATTAAGTTTTAGTTATGAGTCAAACTAATTAAAAATGTGAAATATTTATTTGGCAAATGGGTGAAATAAAATAAGTTTTTGTATATTTTAATCTTATTTCAGGTACTTTTTAAATGGTTTTAGTTCATTATAATAACCCTGTTACACTACATGGTTATTTAAATCTGACTAGACTATTTAGGTTGTACTGTCAGTCATAAATGTTTGCATTGGTATGACCAGTCAGTTTTAGCCTTATAAACTAAGCTGACCAGTTTGCATGGCCGGAACAGAAAGAGGAAGTGGAATGAGCCATAGTTTGTGCTATCTTTCTCTCTCTCTCTAACCTGGGTGCACAATGACAGCTTTGTCACTAAACTCCCCCAGCACTGACCCACGGGCAGCAGTGAGCATGCAAACACGAAAAGGAAACAAGCAGTTGGAGGAGAAGCGCTATAATGGAATTCAAGCATTTGTCAGTGTGCTTTGCATTGTGCTGCTCCATCAATGGCTTTCTGTCATCCACAACTGTGTGTTCACAAAAGCATGTCTAGGTGACCTTTGTCTCACTCTGACTATAATCTCATTCACTCACTGCAGTCTTCTAAATTAGTTCTAATTTCAAACACTCTTAAAGTCACCGTGAAATCAAGACAATTCTTATTTTTGTTTTTATTGGAACATTGCAATTTTATATGTACACATCATTACTTAAAAAAAATATTCATGTACCTTCGTAATCTTATACAAAAAAAACGTCCCCCTCCTCTTGCAGCGGCATCTCTTCTCTTCTCTGATGACGTGTTTACTGGCACAAGAGCAGGGCAACCAATCCCTTACATGAAATCACGTGGCAAATCACATCAATTTCTTATGGGCATAATCAAGTCCAGCCCTACATTTTGTCTTGTTCGAGAAAGCCGTTTCACTCGGATATGCACGTCACAATAGTGACTAAACTATCGCAACTTCCATTTCATTTATTGTTATTTATTTAAATCTACCATGCATGCATGCAGATATACACCTGTCTTGATAAAACAATTCTCACCCCTCTCTCACCCCCAAACTGCACGAACTGACACCCAGGCTCACCCTTTAACCTAATGTTAACCCAGCCCCTGGGAAAGTAGGGTTTGAGTCAAGGTTGTGCAGTTCCAATGATGCATACGCTCTCAGTTGCAAGAGACAGTGGTTGACAAATTATAGACTCGCCCCAGAGAATAACCGTCTTGCCTAACTCTGATGTCAAGCCCAGGCTTGATATATTGTGACTCAGCACCCCCACTTCCCCCTTCATATATCGTTTTGCTTTGGCTCCCATATCTTTTGAACCACCAAACAAGTTCTAGCAGCATTATATGACTGTGTTCATGGAAATCTGATTATTCGAAAGAGTAGGTTGCGTGTATACTGTTCAAAAGTTTGGGGTTGGTATGATGTTTTGAAATTAATTCTTTTATTGAGCAAGGATGCATTTAACTGATCAAAAGTGACAGTTAAGACTTTTAAATTGTTACAAAAAGCGTTCTATTTCAAGTTAATGCTGTTCTTTTGAACTTTCATTTAAAGAATCCTGAAACGAAAAACGTGTCACGGTCTGTACAAATAATTTAAGCAGCACACCTGTTTTCAACGTTGATAAGAAATGTTTCTTATTATCAGCACCAAATCAACATATCACAAAGATTTCTGAAATATTATGTGACACTGAAGAGTAATGGCATCTGAAAATTAAGCTTTTCCATTACAGGAATAAATTAAATTTTAACATTACATTTGTAAAATATATTAAAATAGAAAACATTTCATACTGTGTATCAATTTTCCACACTGATACTACTTTAACCAGATTTTTTTTTAAATAAATGTTTTTTTTAAATAAAAAGCATATGAGATTTTTTTTTTAAATCTTACCGCCCCTTACATTTTTGAACAGTAGAGTTATAGTATGGACTACTTTTATGGTGTTTTTGTGTGTTCCATGAAAAAAAATTGACATGAGGCTAATAATGATTTAATTTTTTTAAATTTAGACAAACTAATGATGATAAGTTTAGACAGCTCTATATAGATGAATGAGTGTAATTGTAGACTGAGAGGTGTGTCGTCTAGGTGTTATCATCAACACCAAGGCAGATCAGTTATGTGTATAACCAAACACGTTACTTCACTCTCTCTGTATGGACAGTAGCAGGTTAATCGAGCTTTAACCAACATGAAGCGTGACAATTGTGTACATGTGACACAGCGCAGACCAGGTTCACTTTATCTGGAGTCAGACTAAAGTCAAACACTATGATTCAATAAGATGATAGAAGAGCTTTTCAGGTGTCCAAAGCAATGTGAAAATTCAGAGAACTCTGCAAGAGTTTGGCCTTTTTTATGCCTCTTTATTAAAGTAAACTACTATTTTACTGTATTTACTCACCTTTTGAATGTGTCAGAAATTTTGATGAGAGAGAAAGAATTCTCTTTTCATTGCACGTTTTGTTCCCTTTTCATGTGTATGTGTGTGTTTTGTGTACATAGTTAATAACTTGAATAATAGAAATAACAGAACTTTGTTTGAGTTACAGCCGTTGACAACTCCTGACAGGAGCATCTCTGGGCAGTTTTACACCCCTTTTATCAGTAGGAATTCTATTCTTTGCAATCGAGTCTGCAGTCCCTGCTGATGCGCTGACTGATAAGACTGGCTATCTTTACACATTCCTCTATGAATAGCCATTTCATTCTCTGTTTGGTCATATGTTCATTGTCTGCCGCTAGTTTGAGATTCTCATAGCAGATTGGCACTGACTTCTGATCAGATAAAGTTCTGGAGAGTGACTGTGTCATTCACTCACATGCAAAGTCTGCAGTTTAAAAACACACCTGCTCAGGTTTTACAGCACCAAACGTTCTGCATCACTGATTTATATTGCTCTGAACACCCTGAACGAATTGGAGTTTTTTCTGCATGTGCTCATCTACAAGCACATTAAATAATAACCAAAAGAAATCAAAAAGAAATAATAAAATAATGAAGTCAAAAAAATATTTAAATTAAAACATTTAAAATTGGAATTAAGTAAAAAAGAAACATTGCAATGAAACCAATTTCATGGAAAAAAATATTGCAATATAATTAAATTCAACTTTAATCTATAAAATCCATGTAAGTGATGATCATTCATTATCTTTTTAAAAATCGGTTGCATGGTTTTGAGTATTTTTATTTGAATATTTTTACTTTTCTTTTTTTAAGTTTATTCTGATGATTTTATTTTCAACATTTTATTATTGTTTTCTTTTCTTTGTTTTGTTGACATTTCATGAAAGTTTAGACTCTAAAGTTTAGACTTTATTTAAAAATAAAGGGTTCTTCATTGGCATCTGGTTCTATGAGGAACCTTTAACATCCATGGAATATTTCCATCGCACAGCATGTTCTAATGGAAAAATGTTCTTCTCACTTAGGAAAAAAAATTGTTCTTTAAGAACTGTTCACAAGGTTTTTTGGGGAACCACAACTGGTTCTTCTATGTCATTGCTGCAAAAACCACCTTTTGGAACTTTTATTTTTGAAAGAGTGTAGGCAGCACTGGGACTATATATCACAGTTTGAAGTTTCTCCCCAGCACTAAAACAGCACCTGCTTTGCTTTGGCCCACATCTACATCTAATGATTCTGCCACACAAATGAAAATAAGTAGCATCATTTCATACATTTTAATTATGATTCCAGTTTTGCAATTATCATAGTTATAATGGTGTAAATTCTTTTAGTAGCCTATCTTCTCTGTCCTGATGTCAAACCTCTGATTGTAAACTTGCTGATGGCTGACATTTTTGCGGAAAAATTTTTGGCCGTGCATTTCCATGTGACAGTCACACATCTAGATAGACATCTCTTTCTCTCTCGCTCACACATGAATGGAATTCACTTAAACGCTCACTTATAGCTCCTTGAAGCAATTTTCATTCAGAGTGCCAGCAGAATGCACATGACGAGTGGAGGATTGCACAACTTTGAAAAAGAGAACAGAGGGGAAAGTCTTAGATTATTTATAATTTAACATATAATAATTGAACTCTCCTTCTCCCTTTTTGCTGTATATCCCGCTGTTTATTTCAACTAGAAGCTATGTATGTATCTGTTATGTAACAGGCAGGTCTTGTCATGTTCTTATCTTGTGGGATCTTGGCTGGCGTCTCATGAAGCTGTTCCTGTTACCTATATGTTCCCATAGATAACCCCCCCCCCCCCCCTCTATACTCACTTATCATTTGATTTTGTTATCTCACAAAGATGAAGTGGAAAGATCAGGTGACACACACTCACACTTCACAGCATACTGCATACATGGCATGCTTGTAGCAGTTTTGGCAGGAATTTGTTT